TGCTTGTGGGGAATTACAGGGTCCTAATCATCAGGGCGGTTGGAACTAGCAAAAGGGCTGATAGCCTGCGCCAAATGGGGCAACCCAACAAAGGACACCAACCCACCCCTTTGGCTTTTCAAGTGCTTCTTGCTTTTTCTGGCTGACAGAAATCCCAACCTCCACAAAAGTCCAGCTTGGCGGCCAAATCCGGAAGTGAAGGGTCGGCCCAACTGGTGTCACTCGTTTTCCTTCTGTTTTGGGTGGAGTCCGGCCGGCGGGTGATTTGAGAAAGTGGCTTGATATCAGTCTGTGGACTATGGTTTATTTGGGGCTGACATGGTGTTTTGGATTGGATTTGAACCCCTGGCTCTGGCAGAGGGTCAATTGGACACCACTTTCTAACCAGGGCAGTGCCCCATGTTACCTATGTATTGCAGCTGTTTTCTTTTGAAGGAGAGGTCACCAAAAGCATGAGCGAGTGATGCACGTAGCTTTTACGCCACCGGAGCCGTGAGAATTTGAGCCGACTTCCTTGGCTCCTGAAAAGGTCTGCACCACGGAAAGTTCTCCAGGCGATGGCTTGCAGCTCGACATTACAAGGCTTTTCTTTAGACAGAGCTTGATCACCACAAGAAAGGATCGACCTTATCACAACAAATGATCCATCTTGCGGAGGCACACTAATATTTTTTTTTTTGCGCGTTCGGTCCATCAAAACATGGCGAACATCAACTGGCCCGGCCTCCTGGCCTGGAGCTACTCGTCTGCGGTTCTGAGCTGCTGCCAGGGTTTCTGGGACTCGGACGCCATTTCGATGTGTGTTGTTAAGACGATGAAATGGACCGCTGAATTGTGGGGTCCCATTCTTATTTGAAGATGCATGAAAGGTGCACGTGGCAAGCTTGCAAAGACGAAAGACATAACAAAGGTAGGAGCTTCATATAGGTGGAAGGTTTAGTGAGCACACAATCCGTTCTAAAGAGTAAGCGCTTGTGGTCTCCAGATCGATCGCCACCGCTTGTTCTCAAAAAGGATCTATGCCAACTCCCCAAGACGAAGTAAGGCAAATCATTATGGACTTCCACAATACCCTTTGAAATGGCACATCACCAACCAGCAGTTTGTTGCGGCAAACGGTTTGTATGGGTAGTTTGAGGGTCCAGGTGCTGCGACGCGAGGTGAATAGAAGAGCGCAACGCTTTCTTTTGCCTACCTGAATACCTCAAACACAGCCAGTCGGGAACTTTCGGCTTTCTCGGTATGTGAAATATGCCTGGCGTCTCCATGGGAACTCGTTTCCAAGGGCGACTCAACTTGGGCAATGCCAGGGATTCTGTCCCTTTGAGACACATTGTCAGTGCTTATCCTGCGTGTTTCTTGTGCCTTTAGGGTCATAACAGATGGTCTGGGAGTTAGCTAAATGGCTAGGAACCCTGGTCGTAACCCACTTACAACAGTAGCAAGTTCCTTGTAGCTAGGGTTCCAAACCATTTAGCTAATTCCCAGACCATCTGAGCAGGGTAGGGGAAGCAAGAGGCTTGGTCTCTCGTGTCGTATACATACAACGGGCCATGTTTCTGGGCGCTGGCTGATGGGTGACCGTCGCTTACCCCCTACTCCAAATACCCACTTTTTTGCGGTATGATGTCGACCCTCTACTAAAAAGGATGTATATTTACCTTGAAACGCCAAGTTGTCCAAAACATACTTAGAACAGTGGATATTTGGAGTAGGGGGTAGCTGAGGTACCAAATACCACGATGGCACCGCGCCATCGCAATTCAAGCAGTTGAGCGAGGAGGATCGGAGGCATCGAATTCGGGGTGCGAGCATTGAGCAAGTGCGAGCGCCGTTCCTTTTTTTTGGCGTGTTGAGGGATTTCCCTTCAGAATTCCCAGCTGAACCCTCAATCCATCCATCAAAATGGGTTATTGCAACTCCAAATGATGGTTGGTGATCTCTCTTTTTTTCTTTCGGGGTGGTTCTTTCGGGTCCAGGCAAAACAACAACGGTGCGCGGTGTTTTGCCCCATTGCCCCAAACGGTTCGGGATTTTGCGCGCCAAAGTTGGGGGTGGCTCGTCGTCTTTTGGCCATCGGACCGCCCCCCCCAAAAAAAGAAAGAGAATAAACACAGCGGTTTTCCTTTTGGTTTCCTTTTGCCCCCGACAACAGGGTGCCAACTCAAAATGAAAGCACCAGCACCACGGCTTGGAATTGTGGTCTCCTTCACCCAACTGATGAAGGAAACCTCCGGTTGGTTGCAGTTGAAGCAACTTCAAAAACCGATGAAAATGTCATACCTACAAAAAACACGATGTTTTTTGGGAAAACACGATGTTTGCGGGAAACACCGCATTTTCGATTTCAAGCAGTTTCCCATACATTCCTTCAACTCGTCATCCGTTCTCAAAAGATCTCAAAAGCATCATCTCAACCTCAGAATCTCCCATCGCCCTCCCCTTTTGCACTCGCAACGAAATCAGCTTCGCATTCGCCACTCGTCTTTCGCAACTCCAACCTGAAAGAAGGAGGCCGGGGACCCAAATAGTCAAAAGTACCACGGTTTTATGACACTTGTCAAGCAGCAGTGCCATGATGAGGGCGTGCTGGCTTTGAACAGCGCTCAAGCTCAAGCAAAGACCGTGCTTTTGCTCACGACTTCGTTGTTTTCCAGCAACATTCTCGAATTAGCGCATTCGTGGTTGAACCCGAAAAACCCATAGAATTTCCACGCTTTGCCACGCTTTACTACGGGTTCTCCACGGTTTAGCTACGGGTTAGAAAACACGATGTTTTCCCAAAACACGGTATTTTCGGTTGGGGCTGCGGGCTTTCTACGGGTTTCTACGGGTTTTCTATGGGTTTCTACGGGTTTTCTGCGGGTTTCTGCGGTTAGCCGCCAGGATCCCGCCCCATTTGCTAAAAAAAACTCAAAATTGATAAAAACAATCTCAAAAGTGTCACCTGGTCTTGTATTGCACCACAAGGAGCTTTCGGATTCCAGCACCCCCTTCAAACTGGTTCGGTATGACCTGGCGCCAGTCTTCAGGTGCCTGTTGCTGTGAAAGGTACTTCAAGACTGAAGCCAGCTGCACACCCTGGCTGTCAGGCTCATCAATGTGGTCCTTAGAATTTGAAGCATACTCAGTATAGAGCGTTGCCCTCAGTTGAAATCTTAATGGGTGATGTCTGTGTGAATCCACTCCCGACCCTTGCCTTTGACCCTTTGCTCCAAATGAGTGTTTGGCCTCAGAAGCCCATTTTTAAGGGGGTTTATCAAAAACACGATGTTTTTCCTGAAAACACGATGTTTTCAGAAAATCGAGAAAAAACACGATGTTTTAGTCAGGGTACGACATTTTTACAGGTTCTTGAAGCCCTAGGATAGGTTGCGATTTAAAAAGCAAAGACGGCGAGAGATATTGAAACTGAGCCTTCAACAATGGCTGATCCTTGCTTTGGTGCATTTGCTTGGATGTTAAAGGGCTTCAACTTTTTGTCAACTAATAGGTTTTCTATGTCAACCACGGAGAGTTAAACTTTTAGCAGGGGAGCAGAAAGCAAGCAAGCTTGGATCTTGAGGGGCATAGGGGCCTTTTGAGGTCAAGCTGGTTGAACATAGACTTGTCCGTGGTTTCCAACCTGTTACCCTATTTGTTCACATCTTACTCCGTAATGTTGACCCCGTGTTACCAAACCTGGTGGGAATATCCCTGCATGGGTTTAATGGGAATTCAGACCAATTTGGAGGGGCCTCCACCCCCATATTGATGAGAAGGGGTGGCTTAGAACCTGTTCAAGAGCCCTGATTCACTCTCATGCACCAGACAGTTCCTTGAAAGTTCCTTGACCTCAGACTTCAGCTTTCGCGTTGCCGTTTTTGTCGAAGAACGCAAGAGAGCGATGAGCAACACAAAAACCACAAATAGTGAGTACAACCATCAGCACCCTGGGTCGCATGCTTGGAGAATCTTGCAGCAAAGGACGCTTCTCATGTGTAGCATCCTCATTGAAAGGGTTCAGCAAGGTACCGCCGAGTTTAATGTCGCAGTCCTGAAGTGTTGTCTGGGGCATGTCCGGGTGGCCCAGCTTGCTTTGGTGGCTTTGTGCAAGAGGCGGCTGGGGGAATACTGTGAAATGATCTTGACTGAGTAAGTTGACGGGGATTTTGTGTTCCTCCAATTTGGTCCATACCTGGCCGCAGGTTTTTGGAGAAAGCCCTGGAAGAAGCCTTCGGCCACATTGAGGACGAGCCCGGGGGGAGAGAGAAAGAGAAAGATAGAGAGAGAGAGAGAGAGAGAGAGAGAGAGCGGGAAACAGCAAAAGCAAAGAAAGCGAGAGAGGGACAGAGAGAGAGAGAGAGAGAGAGAGCGAGACACTGGGCGGTGTAACTACTGATCCTTCTCTGAGACCACCCAGAAAGTATTTCTCAACATAATCTGTGTGCTTTCCCAGAAGGACGAGGTCCTGCCTACATAATAACGAGCTCACTTGGGGGTGAAGCGTGCTCATGATGAAGGTCGTTTGCTTAGGAATTCCTAACTTCCTGTTTTGCATTGATTGTGAGTTGATTGTGAAACATGTGCGAGATGAACAGAATGGACGAAAGGAAAGCTTCGGTTTGAGCTGGTGGTTCTGCGCCGGGGCCCGGTGCGGGCCTTTCAAAGCTCCCACACGGTGAACTGCACATGGACCTTTAAATGGGACCCCACCGGATCAGGCAGAACCCTAATTTGAATAGAGATGGTGTCCAATTCCTGTTGAAAGAATCCACTGGCCCGACACCTCTTTAGGACTGGTTCATTCCGGGGGTGCCTGTTGGTACGATAGCATCCAGGTCGCAGCACTTTTCATTGGAATCCAAGAGGTGCTAAGAAACCATGTGGAGGGGCACTTGGTGTTCACTCAACCATGGCCCAGAATTGCCCGTCATTAACCTGCGTTCTGCGTTCTCAACTTCATTACTGAATCATTGACCACTTCTCTTGATTCGAAGCGCCAGGATCCCAACAAGGTCATGACCGAGGCGCGGACCAGACGGTATCATCCTCATGGGATGGGACCAATATCACCTGCCATGGATATCCAAAGCGACTAATGAATTCTGGAGGGTCTCGACGTGATCTCGAGCAGGAGTGTTGTTGGAGCGTTACCCCAAACCACCAAGACTAGCCCACAACTCACATGACCAATCAGCTCCAAGCCAACCCCAAACCCACCCAAAGTCTTAATCCCACGTTAGCCCTTTGCTGAGCCTAGCCTAAATGAACCCAAGACCCACCCTCGGACAGATCGAAGCCGGCCTAAAAGCCCGAACTCAAGGAGCCCTGAGCAACTCCCAACTGCCACTGAATCAGAGCCAATAGGCAGCTCTGTGTCCAAGTGAAGCCGGTCGCCGGTGATGCAGGTGATGCTGGGAAGGCAAAACAAATAGGAGAAAGGAAAAGCCATCCTGATGAGATGGTCGTTGTAGTTTTGGTCGTCGGCATTGTCATCGTTGTCGTCGTTGTTGTTGTGGTTGTTGTAGGTGGTGGTGTTGTTGGTGTTTTTCTTGTCCTCGACAGTGCTGTTGTGCTTGTTATTGTTTGTACCGTTGTATTTGTGTTTGTTCTTGTTCCTTCTGTTGTCATGATTGAATACTGTTATTCTGTGTTTAACTGGATTCCAAGCTACCCTCAAAACAGGAGACTCGCCTAAAATTATTGGGGCGACATCCAAAAATTTCCCAGTTTTAGTCAGGTAGTTTGAGGGTCCATGTAAGCCAGTACCAAACAAACATAATCCAACTAACCTCGGTTGCTTTCTGCTCCCCTGCTAAAAGTTTAACTTTTACTGGTTTAATGGAAAGCCCATTAGTTCGCAACAAGTGAAAGCCTTAACATCCCTTGGCAAAATGCACCAAAGTATCCTATGGACACCTTTGCCCCTAGCCACCGGTTCTTGTCCTCGTCCGGCCTCGCGGGTTCGGGAACCGGAGGCAGCAGATCAGATTCGCTCGGAGTCCCGCAGCGACGAGAGCATCTCCACGGCCCTCGAGGCGAGAAGGTCCTCGCGGGTTGTGGGAGCTGGTTTGCTTCAGAGGACTTAAACCAAGCCACCACGAATTTCTGGTGTTGCTAACCCACCCTTTTTTGGTCGTTCGAACTTGGAATTGTGGTCGTGCTCTAAACCCGCCGTACTTTCGAAATGGCTGGCGGTTCTTGCATCAAGCAAGAGCTGGAGAAAACCAGGCAGCTAGCTTAAGTCTAGGTGTTTTTCAAACTACACGAACAAAAATGGGGGGGGGTATTGCCCGAAAGTAACGGTTGGCGATTTCCTTTTCGTTATGGGTAGTCTGTGGGTTTAGGTAGGTGTTCCTGAAAATGGGACCCCCAAAAAAACAAATGGTTCCGTCAGTTGGTTCTTTATCTCGACACACCAAAGGGGTATCCTCAAGCCAACGGCACGCCCAACGAGCTTCACAGGGAAAGCTGGCCAAGGCCCCTTTTGGGGTTGACACACCAACGGACATGTCAGTCAATCTGTGTGTGTTTCTCCAGGGTTCCCCGTGAAAAGTGGCTTCCCTGAAATACTGTAGCTGAAAAATGGAGCTGAACCAGGCTGCAGCAACCCGCCCATCTTGCCACCGAGCGAGAGGTCACAGAAATGTCCCAGATGTCAGCAGAATATGTAATAGGCCAATGAGTAGCAATGAAAAAGATCAATTCCAACAAGAAACACCCAGATAATGAAGAGTGACCTCAGCCCGATCATCTCACGCAAAGGCCACGGCATAACACTTTCAGAAACTCCCAAATGACCCCGGAAGATCCAGGTAGTCTTTTGATTGGAAAGAGCAATATATACATATATACACATGACCACGCCAAGGTTTCTATATTCTTGACATATTGCGTGACTTTTCTGTTGAAGGGACAACCGTTGTTTTTGTTGGCCTAAGAATAGCTTTGGACCAAAAGAATCCAACATTCTTTCCGGACAAGGGGGTCAAGAGGTAGTAGAGAAGGTCGAGCTTCGCCGGTGGTTCATGGACATTAAGCATCATTGAATTAGGGACCATTCCGCATGGTTGGCTTCCTGTTGCAATTGAAAACCATCCCAAAAGGGCAAGAGGCTCTTTCAAGTCTTTACCGGTTCTTTGATTGTTTGCATTGCCCAGCTTCCAGACGGGAAAATGCGGCCGGGCAACCTTTTGCCGCTGCGTCGTTGGTGATCTACAGAACTCGGTTTCGTTTTGGGCGAACAGCGACGAGTACGTTGTTTGTTGCAAGAGGTGTGAGAACCACACTTACTGGTCCCCTGAAAGGACTACACGAGTACGATTTGGGTGTCGTTTGTACGGTTGGACTCACCAACTTTTACGGTTGGAGTGACCAAAAGGGGGGGACTTATTGCCCTCAACACATGGTCCAATAACCCATGTTTAAGGGTAGTCTGCGGGTTTAGGTAGACATGTTTCAAAGGAGTTTCGCAAAGTACGCTGAGCCGAAGCTCTGGTCCTGCATCCCGTGGTTTCCAGGTCATCGACAGGTGCTGCGACGACCCTGACTGCGCCCGCAACGCTGAGAAGCCGCCCGGCAAAGCGTTGGCTGACCTGGGTGTGGCTCAAAATTACACAGGAGGGGGTTACGCAGGTTTTGGTGCATGTTTCCACTTCGCAGTGGTTCCATTTTGGAATTCCGGTTTTTTGAGCCACTGCCACCTGTCAAACCCTTTGGTGGTTTGGGTTGGTCAGCAGTCAGCGCTTAGTTGGCGAATTGGACTGATGGTGCGGAGATCCAAAGCACTCTGAACGGATTTGGGGGAAGGGGGTTACCCCTGGAATCCCTTTCATGGTTCCATTATCCCTTTGATTGGGACTATGGAAGACTAGATGAATGGAAGACTAGATAATCTCCGCGTTGAGGTAGGAGGGGACAAGCAAATGAGAGCTGAAGGGACCCTGCCGCTCGGTTGCCCAAAGCTGGCGCCGCAGCCTTCCCATGTCTAGCGCATTCTTGGCTAAAGGTAGGGACTGTCATCAACCCAGAGCATTTAAGGGTATGTTATCTTTTGAGGGTACCCCATGTTTGTTTGTGTGTGTGTGTTTTTGAGGGAACCAAAAGGACAACCACAATTGTTTGGCCTCTTAAAAAAAAAAAAAAAAAAAAAAAAAAACAGACGCACCCACACACCCATAAGTTGTAAGCTCCCTTAAGTGGAACCATACCATGACATTTGGTTATGAGAACTGACGAGCCACCACCTCATAACATGAGACGCGTCCCCAACGGATTTGTGCGGATTCGTGGGTGTGTTTTTGGCGGATAGATTTTGCCATGCCGTGGAGGAGCCGCAAGAAAGCCATTTTGAGCACAATATATTGGGTCCAGAAATGGTCAGCTCGTGAGCAATTCGGAGAAATGAACATCTTCGACCCGCCAATTGGGTGAGTAATCGTTTGAACGCAGATGGTTGTCTTGTTTCTTGTATAGGTACATGTTTAGTCGCGGTCATACAGATACATTTGTTATTGTGATGGTTTTGTCATTGTCTGGCCCGCCAGGAAAGCGCGACCCTGGTTCCCCATGAAGCCCGATTCACGACTATAATATTCGACCCTTGCAGAGGGGACCCAAACTAACCTTTATCTCACTTTTTGCCCTCCTGTTTCCCCTGAGCATCATTGGACCCTCCGTTGGAGGCAAGGAATCTTTGGAAGGTTTTGGACATGATCATCGAGCCCTTTTTGAGGTGCCAAGATTCTTACTCGGTTCGACCAAGTTAGTAAGTTGTTGGAACCTGGGTCAGAAGTCATAACTCACTTCTACGTCCCTTGTTCACAGCGATTCTCCTTGCTAGGGCATAGAACAAGCCAAATGGCCCACCGCGGACATTAACTTGGCGAATCGAACATCCAAGTAGGGTGCCTCATGTTCCCTTTCACCTAGCAAAAGGCCCACCTTTTAGGGGGGCTCGGATCGATCCCTGCGTTCATGTCAGGGCCATAAGGCGAAACCTGGGTTCCGTTGGCTTCTCACTTGTCAGAAAGAGGGAAATATTCACGAGCCCAAAAACGGGTTTGTCACCCCGCCAAAAAAAACTCATCTTTTTCTTGGGCCCATGAAGTCGAATATCAAAAATATCTGAGGTGCAAAAAGAGGCACCCGCAAATTCGGGAGCGCCGGTTTCATCTCAAGTCCAGGCTGGATGTGTTGCAGCCACTGCTGGACTTGCTGACGACCCATGGGTCTGGCCACCCAGATTTCTGTGGCTTTGCCTCCACATTTGCTCATGAATGAGTCATGCTCAATTCACTGATAGAGAGGCTTTGACGGCGTGAAGATATACATGCTTCTTTGTTCGCATCCCGGTCGATTTCTCGTCAGGGGATCTGTGAGAACCAGGACCGATCCGCCGATCCGCACGTCGGGCATTGGTCATAGGGACCACAGGAGCTAGCTTCAGGATTGGCGATTGGCAGGCATCTGAGTCGATGGCTGGATGGACGGATGTTTTCGGCTCACTGGATTTTTTTCGTTTTGATTGACATGCGAGACAGGCACAACTTCTGAGTTGCTTGGCTTGGTTTTGCTTTACTCAAGTTCAATTTACGGGTCAAAGCTGCGGTTCTTTTGGAGTTGCTCTTCCCCATCCCAATGAGGGGAGTCTCTAAGACTTGACACCACACAGAAATGTCGGGGTTGCTGATCTTTTTTGAGGTGGTACCCCTTTTTGGTGGTTTTAAAGGGCATCCAAAAGGACAACCGCTGCAGCATTTTGAGTCTTGAGGGATCCGATTCCTTTGAGACAAACCTGTTTCCTTTTTGAGGGGATCGAGCCTCAGCGATCAGGACTCTGGAAATCCTCGCGCTGCTCTTCTCAAACAATCCCAATATCCAGGCCGGGGAGGGCAAAAGGGTGGCTTTGCTGAGTCCCTGTTCATCTTCCCTTCAAACAGGGAAGTCATCCCACAATTTGGGCAAGAACCCATTTTTCGGGGTAGTTTGAGAGTCCAAGAGGGTTGAATAGGAAGCCAAATGGAAAGCCACCATACCTTCGGGCCCCTCTGTTTTGACATCAGCGTTGCACCAGGCGTTGCGAGTGGTTTCGGCATGAACGGTTGAGTTGAACAGTTGAGTTGGCTGCACACCAAAAGGCCTGCCCTGAGAATGAGGAGGAGACATTCAAGATCTTTAACAAGTCTGACCCCTGACGTTTGGTGAACATACTGATCTTACACGCATGCTTCCAGCCCAGTATCAACCTGGTAACTGAACAGTTGTTGCCTTTCTTCCGGGGTGTTTCAGAACAGGACTTGTTTTTTGTCCAAAATCCGGCTATTCTTTTTTTTCAAAACAGAGGCTGTGACTGTCCATTCTCTTTCGTGGCATAGATGCTTCCATCAGGGTTCTCAGTCGAGACTTACCTGAAAAGAGGGTCAAAGCTTCGCCCAAAGCTTTTTTTTCTGTTTGTTTCCTGAACTTGTGCGTTTCTCTTGCGCCAGAGGCGTTCAGGAAGGCCCCACAAAAATAAAATAGAATCCTATTTGGGGGTAGGTGCAGGGCGAAGGGGGCTGGGGTAAGTGAGCCTTAGGGTCCCTAAGGATCCAGAGAGTTCCTTTGGGAGCCTTACGGAACAACCCGCCCCGCCTTTTTGGCCCACCCCCCCGTAGAGGAAATTGGGAAACGCTCTCACTTCTCCCAATCCTACTGTGGCAAAGTCCTGCACCAAATTCAAACCATGTTGGCATTTACAAGGGAATCATCATCCCATGGAATCTGACCGGTGGTGCGAAATGGATTTCGCCACCATCCACCGTATGTCCGTTGACACCGCGCCACTTCGACTCACAGGCTCCAGATCCGTCCCTTCCGAGTCAGTCGCTCCGAGCGCGCCAGGAAGCGGGCATGAAGCGCGGCGCGGCGAAGCTGTGCATAGGGCTCACGCAGGACCGTGGATTGGATGCAATGGGTTTTCTGGGGAAAATGGGCGTGGCTCAAAATTAAACGATCGGAGGGGCAAACCGCAGGTTTTGGGAACCATGTGTTTCCACTTCCCAGGGCAACCCATTTTGGAAGTCCGGTTTTTTTGGGCCACGGCCAAATGGGCGTATCCTTATGAAGCAAAGCCAAGATGTCTTTTTGGAGGTCGGACCCCTCAGAATGGGTGGCTTTCCTTTTCCTTCAAAACCAGCACCTCCAGTGGAAGCTCCCAGCATCTCCAGCCCAGCGGCCGAGTACCCAAAGTCCCCTTAGTACTGTAGCCAAAATGCAGTGGTGCTGGAGCTGTGCGGTGCTGGGTGGTGCACCATGTTCTTTTCGTTGGAGAAAGTTTCCCTTTAAAGTCCACTGGCAAAACATGGCAGCCCTTGTCTTGCAATGGCCACTGGGGTGCCGGGGTTATCAGCCGCCTTACTCATATTGGTACAGGACGTCTCGATTTCCTGCCTTTGCCGCAAGAATTTTCAGAGCCTTACGCCTTGCGTGTAGGACATACCGGCTGAATCAGGCTTTCGATGTGTGTGTGTGCCTTTGTGTCTTTTCCTCTCTCTCACTCCCCCTCTCTCTCTGTGCAGGATTGGAGCTGGATTTTGTCCGTCCACGGTAGGGATGGTCCACAAGTGATTTCCCTTTCAACCAAGGGAACTATCGAAAACCCCCCTCAACTGGTACCGACAGTTTGGTATGTGACGGACCTGCTTGCTTGGACCCTTGGTGCTCATCTTGTGGGCATTTTGAGGGTCCAGGCATGTTCCAGGTGTTTTCCGGGTATATTCCACGACAGGCTTTTGTACATTTTGGGGCTCAGCTGTCATGAATCAAGGGCATTCGCCCCACAACTCTGGCACCGCCACCCCCATTTTTCGCCGGGCGGCTTGAGGGTTCAGACCGTCCGCTTTCGCCGCTTCGGCGGCGGCCCGAGCTTTCGCTGGGCGCGAGGAGAGCCCCGTGGGTTCCGAGGAGCGGTCCAAGGCCTTCCGCGCCTTGGTGGCCTTGGTGCGGAACGTGCAGGCGCGCCAGCGAGCCTCGTTCGCGAGCCCGCGGGCCTCGTTGCAGGTGGTGGGCGTGGGCGAGCGATTTTTGTTGGGATATGGCTGTGGGTAAAAGCAAGGGGATCCCATTTTGGGATAGGTGCACCCATTTTAGGACCTGTTTTAGTGGTTGGATTGGGATGTTCACTGGAGGTACGGGGTTTTGACCCATGGCCATATAGCCCCCCTGTCAGGTGGGTTTGAAAGGAAAACCGACAATGGAAACCATCTTAAAGGAAGCATTTCGCCTGAATCTATTGGCGGAAGCATATGAATGATTCCAAGGAGCATTTTAACTTTGTTTAACCAAGGTCCCCAAAAAAAGACACACCCCAATCAGAAAGCTTTACAATTGGTTCCGCGTGAAAGGACATCTGAAGGAAGCAACCTTTGCAGCTCCAGCGGTGAGGAGCTGACAGGTCAAATCGTCCGGCTTCCGTTTAGGGAGAACCTGGCGCCCTCCTCACCCCAAGAGGTGCTCTTAGGAGTCCGTGGCAGCGATCTGCAAGCCTTTCTGTAGTGTCTCTCCATCGGGTGACCGATTCCTATTTTGGGGAGCATCCATCTAGCCTTCTCTGGAAAAGTAAATATGCTATATATGGATGTTGGACAGGGCGAGCTTCAACTCATCGTTGGCCCCATATCGATCAACAGGTTCTATAACGGGGGGGGTTGTTCCGTCCAACAGTGGTCTGAATCCCCACTCAAAGATGACACCCTTGTAATTGAGGGGTGGTTCCCCTTTTAATACTTGGAAATTCGTTGCCAAGTAGTAAGTGGTCGGCCATTTGTTTTTTTTTCACCCCTAACAACAAGGTTAACCCCACTTTGGGGGGTAGCCTAGGCTATCAAGAACCCAAGTAGGGAAATGATCATCCCTGGGTGAGGTTGCCCTAGAACCTTCCAGACCCAAGCAGGAGTTTGAGAAGTTCCTGCTGGCAGAAGAGCCCGGCCGCGCGCTGCTTGTCCAATGCTTGAGCCCCGAGGAGCGTCGAAAAGCCACGCCGCGTGCTTCTTGTGGTTCGGTTTTGGGGGAAGCCTCTGTTGAAGTTGGCTAAAGAACGGGGAAACGCGCTTCCTGAGTTCCTGGGCTTGAAACTTGTTGGGGTTTGGACCATCTGAGTGGCGAACAACAAGTTCGAACCTTCTCTATCCGATCCACTCAGGGAGTGAGTTGGTTGGTTTTCAGGGGGCACCAAAAGAGAAACGGAAAAGCGCCGAATTGTGCGGGGCCCAGATGATTGGCCACGCAAAGGGCCTGAGTCAAATTACAGTTCAGTCAGCGGTTCCTCCAGCGTGTCTTTTTTTTTTACAATATGGTAAATCTTGAGCATTTTGGAGTGGTTCAGCTCGTGTTTTCGTTTGTTACTTTCGTTGGCAGTGGCTGAGAACCACAATAAAATGCCGTACCAACGGGGATGCTGTGCCCATGTGATATGTTTGGCGTGTCCTGGTTGAGGACCTGTAGGTGTTGCGTAGGGTGCTTCAAATTGTAGGCGGCCAATTGTCGTGAAGCAGCATGGGCGATTGTTTGTTTTTATGTTCCTCACACAAACCAGGGGGATGGAAAGGTGCCGTCTTTGGTTTTCTCAACAGATGAAAGCTCAGGGGTCTTTGCCCAGATCATTCCGGCTTTCAGGCAGGGTAGGGCGTTCAGGAACCTGTTGGGCATACCACCTGTGCTCTTTTCCCATGTCCTCGGAAAAACCCTACGGAGCTTCAGAGCCGTTCCGGTCGCTCCGTTCCGGTCGCGTGCGTGAGGAGCTGCCAGGCACACGGGAGAAGGCCGAGCGCGGGGCTGGGCTGGGGGGTGGGCAGCTTAGGGCATTTGATTGCCACCCACGGCCCATAAACCATAGGAACCTCCAAAGGGGGCGGGATTTTGGGCAAGCCATGTTGTCGGGGGTACCTTCCCTTTTCCATTTTTTCCAGGGATCCTCCTTTCTACAAAACCTCCGGAAACCAAGGGAAAACGGGGCTGGTTCTTGGAAAGAACGATGGCAATCAACTCCTAGAAGCTTGGAATACATGGAGCTCCCTGCATTTTGGTTCGCCTGTACCACCCGAGCTGGTTTTCTGCGGGGTGGGGAGGGGGAACCCAGAAAACATGGAGCCCAGAAAATGGCCCAGAATTCTTCGCATCGGCTCTTCGCTTTCAAGAGCCAGGTCAACCCAGGGTTCAATAGATATCTGCAACCATGGTATCGTGGCCAAGGCTCTTTGGGGTTCCTTTCAACTTGCAATGGTGATTAAAGCTTTGGGATGGCTTTCCGTTTTTGTTTTGTTGTTTTTCCCCCGCAGCAATTGGTGGGTTGCAATCCACCAAACCACCCAATGAGCGCCGGATTCTTTCTCATGAGCTTGGAGTTGCCCAAGTTGTGGTCGCGGCATGGTTGCTGTTTTCCCGGTTATGGCCCTAGTTATGTAGATTAATTCAGGTCTGTGACCAGTGCGTAGCAATCGGATGTTTACCACGATATGGCCATGGGTCAAAATTCAAATCGTACCCCCAGTGAACATCCCAATCCAACCACTAAAATAGGTCAAAATGGGTGGTGCACCGAAAACCCCCAAATTGGGATCCCATTGGTTTTGACCTACAACCATATGCTACTGCCTCTCTTCTCAGAATAGTTCCATCAAGACGACGCAAGTGCCTCGGATGCTGGCGGCGGCCTTGTGCCCGACAGACGGGAGAGTTCGATGTCGGAACGTCTGTGTTTGCACCATGCTTTCACAAGTTGCAGATCCACTCAGGAGCACATTTTGAGGACTGGTTTTTGTGAATGTTAGGAAGCCAACTTGAGGGCTGGCCATGTAATTATACTACTTGTTGCCAAGTTAGTATTTCTTAGCTACCTAGGTTCTATCCCACTTACTTATACCCCAAATGGCTTGGAATAGCTAACTTGGCAACGAACACCAGAGGCACCATAGGCTTTTGATCGCTTGGATCGAGTTGCGCGTTTGGGATCTTCAAACGGCGTCATTTGAGTCCCATCTTGAAATCCCATTATGGGCCTGCTTTCCATGCGAAGCCAGCGCTTGTTGGTATTTGCCAGGGGAATCATCCGAAACCAGGGCTTTTTCGTTGGGGCGACATGGATTTCGCAACCATCCCACCGTATGATTCCTGGTTTTGCCACGGTTGACCCATGAACCAGAGCTTCATATATGGACATATATATATATATATATGCAGTCAACCTATTGGTTTCTTTGGTTGTTTTGGGTAAGTGCCCTGATTCATTCGACATTGGTTTCTTTGGTTGTTTTGGGTGCCCTGATTTATGCTTGGTTTACAGGGGAGTGCAGCTTTTCACCGTTCCATTCGCGGGCGCAGGCTGCCTCCTTCGTGCGCTCCTTGGCGGAGAATGGCTCCATGGCACCAGAGGCGAGGATTCGCTCGACCTGGGGCAGTCAAATTTGTCTCTGGCACGCCTTGCTTTTGTTTTCGTGGTGGTTTGCTAGTGTTAGTTGTTTAGCAACTTCCGATGTTTTTTTGTTTTCTTTGGATCTTGTTTGACAACCAGAGTGTTGTATGGCTGAAGGGGCCAACATTTGGGACGCGTGATGACATGTGACCCCAAGGAGGTTCATCAATGCACGGAGGCGATTGGCGTGTGACGTCCGGAAGGGGGGGGCCTACAAGGCATGCTAGATGTTGCTTTACTCCTAGCGCCTGGTTTGTGTGCTTGGACCTGTAAGCTGCTGTCTAATGGAACAGCTCAGTTGGCAGCCTGTTGATGTTGAATTAGCAGAGCGTTCTGCTCCTGCTCGAGAATCTCGGCCGGTTTTCGCGTAGGCTCCGCGTAGGCATTCGCGCAGGCACTAGCCCAGTTTCGTGGCCGTTCCCCCTTTTCTGGCTTATACCCGAATGCTGAAGGCATGGTCAAAGTTGGGCTTCCGTCAGCGTAAAAAGCTGGTGAACTCTGGTGAAGGAACTGGTGGGGCGCGGACAAGCTGAAGCGAAATTCGGCCCACTTGTTTCACCCAACATCAGTTTTCGGGGGAGCGGGGGAGGGCTCGGGGAGAAATCACTTGTCTCTAAAAACGAGCAGGCTCTAGTCGCCGTGCTTTTTGGATCAGGACATGACTCCCAGTTGTTTAGTCACACCCTGTTTGTTTTTTTTTGTGTGGCAAGCTTCCGACATGATCAATCGCCCAAAAGGGCTGCCTTCGTTGCTTGACGGGTCACCCTCTTATAAAGTGAAATGGTTGCCGCAGAATACCCCCTCTCCAAAGCAACAACGATCTGGTTGTTCGCCTCCAATTGTAACGAGCTATCCCGTGAAAGTCCCGTTCCCCGACTCATGGTCCAAAAAGTTTACCTGTTATTTCTGGGTCGAAACTGGGCAACTTAGTACAGGGATTCGGCCGATGTCCGGGTGAGTATCGAGTGTTTACCCTTTGCTTTTCCAGGATGGGACCCTAGATTGATTGGGTGCATCTCATGTTTTTCTATTCCCAAAATGACTCCGGTGTTCCTTTCGGTTTTCCTTTAAAACCAACCTTGAGACGGGTACCAACTCAAAAGAGACACTCAAGGAGATACAGCTCATGGGCGGGGGCCGACAGACCGAAGGTTTTTGAAAACGACCATCTTGAAAAGCAACCTCGCCCTCCATGATTGGACAGAAGGTGCCAGGGGGCCCAACCGGTTGGCATCTGTTTAAACAGCCAGGCCAGACCCGAACCCTTGTTAGGGAACTTGTTTGAAGCAGTTGTGGTTCAACATGTTTAATCAGTCTGTTGCCATGCTTGGCCGCACAAGGATATTTGTTTAAAGCCCAATCAACCCAGCCCCAAGTCCAACCTTCCATTTGCTTAAGTTTTGTTTTTGTTTCCCCTGTTGGTTTAAAGGGAATCGATCACTCTATTGAAAATGTGTTTTTTTCTTTTTTGCGGAGACCCAAGCAAATGGAAGTACTCCAAGCCACTGGGCATCGCAACCGGTTTGCTTTCGTCAGCACGTGAAGCCGTTGGCGACAGCTTTGGCCGCGCTCTTCCCAAAGCTTCAGGCGTGAGCGGAGCGACGTCCGCATCGAAACACGGATTTGGCCACTCTGCGTTAAGCTGAACCCTCAAGCTACACGCTCACAATCTCATGGCACACCAAAAGGGCTCGCTGTGCTGTATTCCCCCTTTGTTTTTCTTCTTTTTCTCACCAACAAATTGAAATTGCCGATTTCCCTTTTATTCGGGTAGTTTGGGGGTCCAAGCTGAAACTTGAGGTAGGTGATGGTAGGTGTCCTTTTAAGGTGAGTGTGGTTAGATATGGATGGGTTCCACTGGTTTGGCCTTTCGGAGTTGATGTGAGCCCGTGGATTTTGGACATGGTTGAACAAGCAGAAAAAACTGGGACCCGGGATGGTGGCAAAGAGCATTGAGGGACTTGGGCCAAGTCCACTCCTTTGTGATAGTTCCTTCTTTTTTTTGAAGAGCGGCTTTTGTGGCAGAAAGGCACGGAAGGTACTGTGGTTTTGGAAGCATTGGAGCTGTAAGATGCCTTGGAGCCGTAAATGCACTTCAAGCTATGCATCCTTTTCTTTGGGGGGGGGGGGAAACGCGACCGTTTGGGTGTGATTCGACTTTCTTTGGGTTTCGTCAGGGTGTAGGGGGACCCCTGACACCTTCGAGGGTCGTGCAGAGCTCCTGACCTCGACTCACAGTGCCGATTTATTCTTGTTGGGTTTTCTAGAGTTTGGTCCATAAGATGCATTTCCCTTGGGTTTTCTAGATTTTTGTCCACTTTTTGGTCCATAAGATGCACTTCCCTTGGGTTTTCCTAGTGATGCAAGGGGAAAGGATTCCAAGGCCAAGATCCGCAAGTTGAGTCAACGCCAACCATAGCTGAGATTTGGTCTCAAGCATGGCTAGGGGCATGGGTGCACATGTTTACAGTTTTTTTGTTTGCCCAAGAGTATGGTTGGTGATTCCCCCTTGATTCGCCTCCAGGGTCGTGACTTGATCACCGGCCGAACGTACAGATTGCGCTGAGAGAACCACAGCGTTTCTTGGTGTTTACAGGGGAATCATCATTCCAGGCTTTTCTCCGATGATGCGAACTGGGAATTTCGTCCATCCACAGTATTACCATTGCGAGACTCGAGATGTCAAACGTATCACATGGGTCAACTCCTTTTGTGGAGTTGGTACCAGTTTTGTTTGAGGTTTCAAGGGGAAAAGGGACCATTCCGAGGCCATTTTTGGGGGGATCCCTCTAGGGGCCGGCACATGAAGCTTCAGGGAGTCCGATTGGGCTGTTTTCAGAGCACAGGAGGCGGGCATCCAGTACAAGGACGGGTGCGTGCAGGGTGGTTCCTGGTTTTTGGGAAAACGTGGCATGGCCATTTCGAAGTTTAAACACAGCGCCTGCTGGGCTTGCAGGAGGGAATCTTGTTGTACGGGCGTGTTGTTAGACGGCTTGATGCTGTCTCTAGGCTTCAATATGATGGAATTATGGGGGTGTTACTTTTTGTGGGGGCATACCCACAAAATGGCGCAATGGTGTCCCTTTTGGTTTCCCAACAAAGCCACCAAACAATGGGTATCCTTCAAGCTAGGGCAAAAAGAAAAAAGCTGACCTGTGTTCGCGACTTGGAGCACTCATCAGCCTCTTGCTTGCAGCCGAGATTGCGACGTTTTGATTGTCGGAGCCTCAACGTCACTTGTCTCACTCAGGAGACTGTGAGCTCCTGCGCTTTGCAGCTCAGCACTTTCAAGGCTTCGGATCGTTTCGTTGCTGTGGGTTGACCTGAAGCGATTCTCAAACTACACGGCGAAAAATGGAGGGTAAATCATGATTGGTGATTTCCAACTTGTTTAAGAGTCGCTTGGGGGTCCGGGTGTATTCATATGTTGGTGAGAAGCTGGTTGAGACGGCAGAGGCAGCCCCCCCAAAAAAACACAGTGTGTGTGTGCAGATGAAGTTGGTTGTTTGCTGTATCCTTGTGGCAGCTCTGCTTGGTGCGATGGCACAGCGTCAGCTGGGAGTTCAGTTGAATGCCCTTTGGGTCTGACTCTGTGTTTATCCCATCTATCCAGAAGGAGGAAAGGCATTGGAGTGAAACGGCCCAGGAGCTTTGCTTTTCTGAGGTTCGTGGTATTTTCGCATCTGCTGAAGGAAGCCTCGCGCATCAGGCCAAAGACGCTCAATGCTCAATACCTCCCAACTTGCTCGCTGACTTCGAGGGAATTAGCTGAGTTTGATTCGTGAACTTAGCGACAGGTTTCACGCTCTGCAGTTATCCCTTTGAAGAACATGGAGGCCGGACTCTTCCCCACATACCAGTCGCCAAACTGTGTACTTGGTTCTTTCAGCAAGGGGTATGGAGAGATGAGAAATCATATTGAGGCTCTGAGTTGAACATGGACGACTCAAAAGTTGCCGCGGTTGTTTGTTCTTTCCTTTCGATAAACAAAAAAAGGAAAGAAACAAAAACAAAAAAATGTCCAGATCGGGTTGAAGGGCAACCCTTGCCCCGGTGTCGTTCCAAGGTACTTAGACCCCTTTATACCCCCCAAATCTGATTGGCCCGAAAAGTCTGAACTGCTTACCACATGGTCTCCCAAAAAGTGACTAAAGTCCAGGAACTCAGGAAGTGAGAAAGCCATCCTTAGGTACCTGGACCCTCTCATTCTGGGTGGTTCTCAACTGTTTCAAGCACCTTCCTTCGAAGCATCTTGGAACCTTAGGGTCAGGGATTCTCAGAAGCTCTTCTCAATGGTTCTGGTTCCTGCCTTCTTTCCAACGACGGAAGTAGACAGGAGGGTTGAGAACAACTTGTTCAAATATGTTCAAGAAATGTTTGATCAGGTTCAAGCACTGGCGTGTGTGGACAAGACCCCCAACCCCCCGGGGATTTAACCATAGGCGGAGTGCCCGCCAGAGCTGCTCAGTGCGGCCGGGGGCTCGCAGCGAAGCTCTTCGGTTGGGAGCTGGGCGGCTTTTTGGGTGGCAAAACGGAAGGAACCCAAAGAGGAGGTTGCCCCAAACACGGACTGCTTCCCCAGAGCTGGGTGTGTTGAATCCTATATCTGATTAAAGCCGCAAACACGGGGGTTGTCAACACTGGGGGATTCCCTTTCAGACAATCCTTGCTTAATTTGAACGTCGCCCACCCACCCCGCGCATGAAAACAAACAACAAAACGCAGATTGGACAGCACTTGAGCCATCGAAACCTGGGTCAGCTGCCGCCCGTTTCGTTCTTTATGTGGTGCTAGACTCTCGACCATTCGAATACCACCTGGATCGCCATCCGTTCTTTCCCAGCAATCTTGCCAGCTTTTAGGGCAAAGTGGCCAGAAAGTATGGTTTCCTTCAGGTTCGCTTTATAAACACAAGGGGTCAATTCGAAAACCGTTAGAACCCCCCCATACCAGAAGAACAAAATGAACGGTAAACAATCCCAAAGTCCCCACTGAGAACGGTTGGCCCTACGTCCCTACACACAATACTCATTTCGTTTCCAGGGTATCCCGACATGATGCGGGTTGGATTCTTTTCCAAAGGGAAAGAACCATCATCTTGGGTTGCACTTCCCCATTCGGGTAGACTGAGAATCGGTTCAGGGGCCCAGGAAACCCCGCGCTTTTCGAGATATATGGTGTGTTGTTTGGAAAATGCCCGCTTTGGGGTGCTTGCAAAGGGAAACCCAAAAAACAAAACAAAGGAAACCCCTAAGAAAAGGCGGGTTATGCGTGAATTTCCACTGGGGGGATTGGACCCGCCGGGTGGATGGTTCGACTTCTCAGGTGGAGGCTCGCCTGAAGGAGCTCGACGAAAAAGATCCCGAGGCCCAAGAAGCGCCGACTTGGCTTTGGGTCTCCGATCCCATGAATCAAAACATATGAGCGTGCAGCTGAATCAGGAAACATGTGTGTTTTGCTCTGGGTTAGACACCTTCTAAGTGGGGTTTACTGGGTGTTAATCCTATTCATAGATAAACAGAGGCGGCCAAGTGGCGACATACTCCTGTTTGTGTTCATGGATGATTGTGTTTTGTTGCGTGTGGGTGCCACGTCCAACATAACCAGTTGTAGAGGACTTTTTATGGGTTATTCGCCCGCTTGACTCTTGGCAACTCAGAATATGTGATCATGATGCTAACGAAACATCCAGGGCCTGACCACATCATTTGTCCTTCTCGTGCACAGCTTTCGAAAACAACCTGCTTGGTGCTCCCTTCTTCGTTTTTCTCTCCTTATTTTTCTTCTTTAAACAAAAACCGTGTTTGTTTTTTGTTTTTCTTTTTTTTCGGCCTCAGGTCACATGGCGTGGCACGTGTTCAGAAAACTCGCAGGTGGAGAACGAGGTGTCCTGCCTGAAGCAGTGCGCGGAAGCCCTCGCGTAGAACACCAGTAGAAACCAGGAAATCGAGCGCAGTCAGCGCAAAAGGAGCGACAGATCATCACAGAGGAGTCTGATGCAAGTGCTCTGCGAAATGGTGAGCATGAAACGTATGTCTAAAAAACAAACACACACACACACACACACTTTGTCAAACATGTTTTTTGCAGGTCTTTGTTTTCAATCACGTTGTATCGGACTGATCCCACTTGTCCTGCTCCGGCATTAGTGGGATGATAAGAATATCGATGCGAACGTGGGATCGGTGTTGTCTGAAGTTGGGCGTTCCTGTCAATATGTTTGGTTATCATATCCGAGTTTCATCCAGGGGTCTGGATGTTGAGCGGACACTAAAAGGTAACGAAGGTAACCATTGGTCATGCATTTACTGTGTAGCCATCATGTACTCATTGTTATAGAACTGAATATCATGAGCTACGGTTCAATGTTTTCCCCACATGCACAGCAGTAAAGATGATGACATTGGGTACAGACAGTCTTCAAGACACCAAGACGAAATGCCGGGTTACTCACCAAAGTACAGTGCCAGTGGGGACATAGTAATTGTTCAAATCGTGACCATGGCTCACATATGCTATAGAGTTGGTACATTGATGGTCCATTGAGTTCACATAGCTAGGGCGGCCTATAATGTAACCAAGTATCCGTTCAATTCCCTCATTTCCAGGTGTGAGATTCAGCCCCGAGCTGCTTGAGGTGCTTCCCCGGGCAGTTCGCTCCCTTCAAGAACACCCCCCAGTGCTACCCCTGCCCCGCCGGCGCGTCGTGGGGCAGCCTGGATGGAGCGCCGCATGCGGGAGTTGGCATGTGGAAGAGCAGATGGTTTGCTGCATTATTGGAATCGGTGAGGGTTTTAGGGGCCAAGAACAGAGTTATTTTCTCCCGAACCCTCAAACTTCCCGTAAAAAGAAAAGGATATTACCGACCATAATTTTGGGGCAATGCACAATTTGTGTGGGTAGTTTGGGGGTTCAGGCTGAGGGATGGCAACCATTTATCCCTGCAGATTCAGATATAGTTATGGTTTGGTGGTTTGGATTGGTTCGGGGATTTGAACCCTTGCTTGTAGACACTTCAGGGGAAACCACCCGCTTCACCTCCAACAAACCAAGCCATGAATTAGAGGGAAAGTGAGATGAGTTTCCTGTTGGATTCCCCTGAAACAATCTGAGGATTCCAATTCGGAGACTCAAACAGGCTTGCGTTGAAGACGGGCCCTACAGAACTGGGCCGAAGCATTCGCTCCCGGGCTCGCTGGGCTTCCGGATTGCGAGGTAGGATAGTTCCAAGTCGCTGGTGCTCCACCGCACATTTCCGGATAAATGATGGTTATAGAAGCCTTTCGGGGCTTGAACCCCCAAATTTCCAGATACATGATGGTTGTGTAAAGCTGGCACGGTTTTAGGGGGGGATGGGGGGGGTTGAAATTCAGGGAAATGGCTGGGCGCCTCGACTGATTTCCTGCCTCATTGCAGTTCACAGTTCCTTTGCATCAAGCTCACCTGTCTGGGGATTTGTTCATAGCGCTGGGTTCAAAGTTTGGAGTTTGGAGCGTGAACCCTGATGAACTCCGAGTTCGAAGCGCCAGAATGCCGTTCGTCAGCGCCAGCACGACTTCGCGCGGCTGGGGTTGGGCAAAAGGAGCAACAGATGGGTCACGACGTACCAAGGTGCCCGGACTTCGGCACGACCACCCCGTGCTGACTGGCCTGTTTTTGTGTGCCTCACCTTGCAAGATGGACAACGCCTCAATTAGGGGCGGTTTTCGACCGCCGTTCTTCACAGATTCTTGTTGGCTAGGTCCCCCAGTAGTGCCCTTTCTCACCCTTTTTTGTGGAGGGTTCCCCTACTAAAATAGACTACAGAAAAAAAGGTGCCCTTATTCTAACCTCTCTACTGGAGGACCTAGTTGGGCTGTCCCTGTGTCGTGGAAGATCATATGTTTGGATTCGATGTCGTTGTGAAGTCGCCTGCTTGACCTGTAAGCTGTGGGGAAGCTTTCTTAACACTTGGTTTGCTCACGGGGTCAAAGCCTGTCAGAAACAAGCAGGCGATGTCGCGTGAGCTCTGCGCAGAAGCCAGTATTTTGACTAGGTCCTCCAGTAGTGCAATTATAACCGTTTTTAGTGGAGGGTAAAGAAGGGTACCCTTTTTCTAACCTCTCTGTTGGACGACCTAGTTGAGGAGGTGGAACCCTGGGGTACAACTTTGGGTCCATGGCACTTCAAAGAGCGACTTCTGGGCCCCCCAATTTCTTTCACACGAGCGGGCATATCTTTCGGCCGCCGGTCTTTTGTCCGGCGTGACGTGAGGGCTCGTGTGATCTAAAGAGGCAAACGGAAATTGTCACAAAATCCGAAGACTCTGCGGGCCTGAGCATGTCCTCTTTTTTTTTTTGGACGCGTATCTCAGCGCCGGCTACTTGGAAAACGGCCGAAATTGCAGGCGTGCTTCATGTTTAATATTTTTCGGGACCGGTGTATTGCCCCCTCAGCTCGAGTGGTTCTGCCAGGTTCATTTGCCCTCCAGGCACCTTCCGCGAGCCGTGGCAGCCTTGGACAGGGGCCTCAAAACCCCCAACTGCCCGTTTCCTGAAGTTTTTGGTGTTTAGTCAGCTTAGTGGGGCTGCATGGGGCTTCCATTTCACCCACTCAGAGTGAGCAACATGTAGCGAGGGATCTGAACATGGACAGCCCAGATATGTCTTCCTCTTTTGGATGAGTGGGCCACGTGGTTTTTTCTTAGCCTCCAGGTGGGGATTTTTTTCCCGGACCCAGTTTCACGGCGAGTTGAAAGGGGTTCTCGCAAAACGGTGCATGCGGCTTGAGAATGGCCTGGTGGTGAATCTGGAATTGATGTTCTACAGAGCCCGTGCAAGCTCCTCTCTTGATCCCTGGATAGTGCTTCTGGGGCCATCAGTTTGACTGTTGTTGGGTGTTTTCAAAGAACATGGCAAGTCTTTCGCTACAACCTACCACATAGGGGATGGGGCCAGTGTTTGATCGGACATCTATGGACCCACGAACATAGGAGTTGTCTCTTTTCTGGGCCCGTCAAGTTCCATGAGGGATGGAAGACTATGTTCACACCCTGGACACATCGTTTCGGATGGACGTCTTGTCAACTTGCTGCTTTTCCAGTCAAGAGTTGAAGTGGTAACAATCCCACTGATCTCCTAGGGGGACGCAACCGGTTCTTTCCGTCCCAAAAGCAAAGGCTTGACGGGGTGTTCGGCCAAATTGGTTGAGTGGCCAGCCATTTAGGGTACAACCCCCTTACAACAAGGTTCACCCCACTTAGGTGGACTTAGTGGGTTACAAACCTAGATTGCCAACAACTTGCCAACTCTGCTAATCGAACACCCAAGCGAATACATTCTGCCCCAAACAGTTCTTTCCTAAACCCGGGTGATTCCCAATCGACCCAAAGCGGCTCTAGGTCCATTGGCAACGGCTCCTCGAGTACCATCTCCTGCGAGCCCTGTGCAGCTGGCACTTGGTCGGAGACCTACCAGACGGGGCCTTCCAAGTCCAAGAGCTCGAGGCATCCCGAAGGGACCTCGGACAATCTCACATCATTTTCCATTTGGTTAAGAATATGTTGTTATTTTCCCCCGTTGGTTTTAAAGGGAATCTATCACTACTGGACATATTATGTTTTTTTCTCCCAGGGGTCTTAAGCAAATGGAAGTCATAGGATCTTCAGGCTCTATACTGGATGTCGATATTTTTTTGCCTATGGCCACTGGGCATCTCAGTCTTGTAGGATACAGGTCCGTAAACTTGACACTCTACAAGTCGCAGATTTGTGACTTAAGGATTTTGCCCTATTCAGTGATATGCGGACGCCTTCGATGTGGTTGAGTGAGACCAACCCAATTGACTTGTTGATTGTGCACCTCCTGGTTTGCGCAGCGCTTTCTTGAGCAGTGTGCATCGTCTTGGCCAACCCGGCGAAACCGGAATGAAAGACGTTTAGTGAGTTGCAAGAAACGGTAGTCGTGCGCAAAACACAGCCTAAAGGGCAGCTAGTTAAGTTCAAAACGTTTTGCGTTGCTAATCAACTGGCGGGCAATGTTCATCGCTCGTGTGCGATGAACGGGTGCCTCCAACAGGAGTGGTTTCTACTTGGTTTCCCCCAGGCAGAACCAAACATCGTCATGTGCACATCATGAATGGCAGGGTGGTTTCCTACTCGTGAGCAAGCGGCATGTTGCCAGATCAGTTTTTGAGCCCATTGTCCTCCAACACCCACAGTCACTGGTTTCGGATTCTTTTCGGGTTTCTCCTTGGTTGGCACAAGTTTAGGCTCCAGGTGATATACCCACTCTAACGAACATGTTTGGGGCCTACCAATGTATATATATATATATATATGTATCCAGCAAATGTCCGGTGTTTTGTGAAACAAATATGAGCTTGTTTCTCTCTTCATTTTTTTGGGTGGGTGGGTGGGTGGGATTAATGTTATATAATTATATATATATATATATGTGTATGTTATGCATATATATATATATATTCACAAATGCATAGAACCGGTGCCTGAGGTCGCCCTGGCGTGGCACTCCCGACTTCTCCTCCTGCGAGCCCTGCCCGGAGGGCCGCGCGCGGATCCGCGGATTTTCTTGCCGAGGGGTGGGTTGGTGGAGGCTAGCCTGGGGTCCCTCCCAGTGGATCCGTCTACCCGCATAGCAGGTCTAGGTCCCCGGTAGTGCCTTTTTGCCCTTTTTGGGGGGAGGGTTCCCCTACTAAAACAGACTACAGAGAAAGGGGCAGCCTTGTTCGAACCTCTCTGGAGGACCTAGAGAGCATTCAGGGAACCTCTGCTGTTCTTGGCAAGTTTGTTGGTTGTCGTTGTTTTTGGTTCTGTTCATTTTAGGAGTGGGCACTTAAACCTACCACTGAACGGGGGTGGTTTTGATCATGGAAGACCATCTTAGTGGCAACCAAATAGTTTGGATTTGTGTTTGGTTCGTCCACTCAGGAGGTGAGATATAAAATCAACTACCAACAAAGGTGCCGCTTTTTGTCTTCCTTCCTGGGGTAGAACCTTCTTGCAAGATTCCCCCGGGACTTATAAGTGGGTTAAAACCTCTGCCAACAACTTGCTAACCAAGTCTTGTCCACCAGACCAAACGGGAGTCACTTCTCTTTTTTTTGGGTGGGGGAGATGGGCCTGGACGCCAGCAGATCGCTAAGGATTCCACTTCCTGGTGGCCCCTCAAACACGGAGACCCGAAATCCCGGGACCTGCGGGGCGGAATGCATGAATCACCAAGCGGAGTTCTGTGCTCTGGGTGTTCATCAGGAAACAAACACTTAACATCGCCATGGGTTTGTGAGTGTGTTGTTGAGCTTTCCTTCAAACCAATAGAGGGGCTGCGGTTGGGTGAAAGTTTGTAGGGCAGCTCCCTCATTTTGCTAGAGTCAGCTCATTCATGCTCCTTCACTTAGCCACACTCATCATGGTGCCAGTCGGGTGTGAACTTCAATGGGGGACCCGACGGAACTGGCGGACATCAAACTTCGGTGGATTCGTGTCCACCACTTGTGAGGTGGTTCCCCATAGCGATCTGCTTCCTCGGTTGAACGCACGCTCCGCGGCTAGCTGGCTTCAGCATGGCCCGGCTGCGATGGATGGATCGGTGAGTCGCCCGTCCAGCGGCCGGTCCCCGCAGCTTGGCGAGAGGAGAGAAACTTGAACCCATGCTTTTCGAAAGCGACTTTGGTTTCACAGCGGTTTCTCTTTTGTATTCGTGTCCTCTTTTTTTTGTTTGGGGGGGGGTGGGTTGGGGAGGCCTTTTAGTTCTTGAGTATGACTTGAGCTTGGCACTTTTCCAAAGTTTGAGGCCCGTTGCATTGGTCTCGAGTGACAGAGTTGACGTGTGTTTGTTTGGGAGCGCCTCTGTAAAAGGGACATCAAAAGAGAAGTGCCCAATGTTTACACCCTGCCCACGGGATTCTGCCCATTTCCCTCTAACTCCACTCCCCTTCCCCCCGCCCCCTCGCGGTTTCTGGGTTTTGTTCAAGCCCTGGCAAGGAACAAGTATGCATCCTTCAGCCCGAGCAGAAAGGTGGAGGACAATACCAAGGTCGACACCGTGCAGATCAAGCGCCTCGGATGGGCGCGAAATTGAGTGAGTCGGGACAAACGAAGAACGGGCCCCAAATCTCAAAAAAGGTTCCAGTGATGCTGTCTCCCTCCTCAAACTAATTACCCCACACACAAATGGTTGGTGACTTCCCTTTTTCACGGGTAGTTTGAGGGTCCAGGTCTATCTTTACTGCACTAAGCCAGTGGCCCTTCTGAGAAATATCCGTTGGTCTTACCGTCCGACCGCTTAAAACCAAGCTGGCCCGAAGGACATATTGGGTTGGATGCCGGCAAGGAGATACCTCCGGACGCCTCACCAGACCTTCTGCGTTTCATCATTGAATGTCCTGGTCCTGGGATTCTTCATATCCAACTCATTTGCAGGAGTTATTTATTGCTGTGCAGGCTGTAGATGGGGTTCTATATCTAGAGCGGAGCGGAGAAGAAAAGGACAACGCTGCTCTATGTTTGGATCCATGGCGTCTTTGACTTTGTGTTCTTCCTTTTGCTTTAGTAAGTCACAGGCATAGTGGAAACTGATGTTGTTCAAGGGACGCCCTTGCAAGACACACGTTATCCATCAGCATGGCCCTTGGACAAAATCAACCCACCAGTTGGGATGGAAGAGCCCCTGCAAATGGGAATGAACACCACCTGCGAAGGATGTTGTCCATTACTACCCACAGTTTCGCATTACTACCCACAGTTTCGCAGCAGCCATGTCAACTTAGTTTGCGCTACAAGGCTACAAGGCGTACAACTTCGCAGGTAGCCATACCAACCTAGTTTACACATGTTTGGTGTGATTTGTATTGGTGACACTAAAGTCAGGAACTTTCTAGCTCCAGGGATAAGATATCCAGACCTGCAGTGGGTTGCTTCCTTTTTAATGTGCCCTAGGGGGGGTTAGATTGGATTTGACCCCCTGGGTAAATGTTTGAAACCCGTTTCAATCCTAGGTCCCCCAGTAGTGCCGCTTTACCCTTTTTTTGGGAGGATTCCCCTACCAAAAAATAGACTACGGAAGAAAATCGGGCACCCTTATTCTAACCTCTCTGCTGGAGGACCTAGAATCCAAAGCGATGCGCTCCCAACTCCCAACCGCCTGAGTTTGAGTCAGGTTCTTAGACCCATCCTCCCAGAAGCTCTCCAGCAAGGAGGTCTTCGTAGATCCGGACACATGGTCTCGCAAGGCCTCGGCGCCTTGGGCTAGCACCAAGGTTACCGGTGGACAGTTGGCAGCGATGGATCCAGGACCCTCCCAAAATTCAGGGACACCAACTCGCAGGGATACAGGGGGAACCAGTTGAATACGGGAGCATTCCCCCTAGATGCTCCTTGACTAAGTTTGATATGGGAAATGGCGTCAAGGGAATCCCCCCATATCCCAGCTCCCTCCGTATCCCTTCTTGTTTGTTTGTCAAATCATTGTTTGTAGTCGGCGGATCTAGCAGACATGGCTAAGTTGCCTCGGGAGTCTCGAAGGTGACATTTGTGAGGTATCAAATGAACTTTGCCCAACAGAAACACCGACAGAGGTAGAGATTGCAAATTATCATAAATGAATGGGGCCCAGCCCATTTGACGCCCGGTGAAAACCTTTTGACCCCCATTTCTTGGGTTAGTGTTGGGCCCTCGGCGTGTGTGTTCGTGCCCTTCAAGGCGTTTTGGCCGCGGTTTTTCGGGAAGCCAAAAGGAAACCCAAGAACAACTACCTGGGCTTGCTTTTGAGAACCACCAAGCCTCAAACTACATTCAAACTACCATGAAAGTGGTAATCGAAAGTGATGGTGGGTGATTTCCCTTTTTGCAGGGTGGCACCCATTCGACACCAGTCGCTTCGGTTCGGCTCGGCTCGGTTCGGTTTTTTCTGGGTCCCCCAGTAGTGCCCTTTTACCCGTTTTGGGTTCGGAGGGTTCCGCTACAAAAATAGACCACAGCAAGAAAAAGAAGCAAACAAACAACAACAACAAAAACGGGTACCCTTATTGTAATCCGTAAGGGCCGTGGGTTCGAACCCAGCTGTCACTTCTCTACTGGAGGAACACCTAGGTTTTGGTTCGCCTAAACTGAGGAGATGCGTTTCCTCATCAGCGCAGACCTGGTGAACCTGGTCGCGGAGTCCTTCGCCGCGCGGAGCGCCCGCTTCGCCAAGGCCAAGAAGCGCGCCTGGGGCTCCCCGTTGGGCGCGGGGTTTTCGTGGGGCACGTGCCGCGTGGGGCGTCTAACGCAAAAAGATCGGGCGACATATGGCTGTGGTTGTCACAACCAATGGGATCCCATTTTGGGGTAGGTGCACCACCAATTTCAGCCGGGATTTTAGTGGGAATTGGGATGTTCGCTGAGGGTACGGCATTTTGACCATGGCCAATATGGCTCCCTGGTCATGGAAATTTAGCGTAAAATCCGGTGACTATGAAACTCCTAGTTTTCAGAAGGTCTCCCGGAAATAACCCGGAGAACGGACAAAACAGAGGGAAACAGCCGGAGACGGAGGACCCAGGTCTTTTTCGAAGGCAACCCCTTGTGGTTGGTTTAGGGAAGCCAAAAGAACAACCACCCATTTAAGAGGGGTCCCAAAACATGTGACGAGCCACCCAAGGATGTGCCTTTTCATGAGGGACTCCCTAAATCGTTCATGGCCAGCAGTAAGTATTGATCGTGGCAGTTTGTGGGGGGCTAGCAGACGGCGGGCCAATTGGATGGCACTATCCACTTGATGGGATTTGGTTCACCCGTTCGGGTTGAGTTTTAAGGGACCAGGGGCCATGTGTCCAACAGTGCGCTTTTGGTTTTGAACTGGAAGCCGACAGAACACCTTTGACATTTTTGAACCCACCTATTTGTGTGAGAGCTTTACCCAAGAGGGGGTGGGCCCCAAGCACGAAAGGGCGCTTGGCGCCCGATGTCAGTGTCCTTTGTTAATTTTGGCAGGAGTTGCAACATGTCCCCGCCGTGACCATGGTATTTGGCGGTTCTTTCCTGGAGAGATAGTAGCAATATGGCGTGGGCGTGGGTGTGGGTGGGTGTGGGTGTGGGTGTGGGTGTGGGTGTGGGTGGGTGGGCGGGTCTCTCTCTCTCTCTGTGTGTGTCTGTGTGTCTGCAGGTTTGTGTGTCTGTGTGTCTGTGTGTCTGTGTGTTTGTGGTTTTGCTTGTGTTTGTGTTTGTTTCTCGTTCTTGTGTTTGTGGTTGCGTTTTCGTGTGGTTTTCTTTTGCTTGCGTTTGTGTTTGTGTTTCTGATTTTGCTTGTGTTTGCGTTTATGGCTGTTTGTGTTTGTGCTTGTGCTCGTGTTTGTGTTTGTTCTCTTGTTTGTGGTTTGTCTTGGTTTGTTGTTTCTTTTGCGTTTGCGTTTGTGTTTGTGTATGGAGTAATTCCCGTGAGTATTATTCCGCCCAAATTCCACAAGTTTTCAACATTTCGCGTGCTTGGGACCCGGGTGCCCTCCATTTTTCAAGTGTTCTTTGGTCCACTTTTACAGCAAACCTCTTCACCTTTCCAATTTCTTTAGGTTTGTCAAATAGCTGTGGGTCAAAAATACATGGAACCCTCGTAAATGGACACATGGACTAAAACCTGCGGTCCATATCCTGGTGGTTTAAAATTTGACCCATACCCCAAAATTCAGCGTGGACTTCGTAAAAACCTCACTTAGATGGTCTGGGACTTAGCTAAATGGTTAGAAAGCCTAGTTACAAGGAACTTGCCACCATTGTAAGTGGGTTACCACCAGGGTTACTAGCCATTTAGCTAACTCCCAGACCATCTAAGCAGGTCGCAATCTTTGCTTTTCCTCGAGCGCACGGAGCCTCCTTTGGTCCAATTTTGCAGCAAACCCCTTCACCTTTCCAATTTCTTTAGGTTTGTCAAATGGCTGTGGGTCAAAAATACGTTTCCCAACATGGAACGGTTGGTCAAAGTTCACTCTTGACTTCCAAAACCCTCAGGTCTCGGCTGCGTCACGTCGCGCTGCGTCACGGAGCCTGAGGCTTGGAGCAGTCGCGGCTGTGCTTCCTGGTGGATCTCTGGAAGCTCCGCGGCCTCGTGGACCGCGTGAGCCGCTGCGTCGCGGAGGGGTGCCAGGCGTGGACTCGACCGGGGGGAACCGGGGTCCGGAACCCGCGCGGGCTTGGTCGGTTCGCTGGCGGAAGTCGGCTGGATCCTTCCTTGTTCATTTGCCCGGATCGGCGTGTCATTTTGTTTGGAGCGTTGGTTGGGTTTTTGAGGGTTGGTTTTAAGAAGGGAAAGCAAAAGGGAAGGCCTGCATTTTGTGGGTGTCTGAAAACAGACACCCCCGCATGGGTGTCTTAAAATGTGGGAACCCTTCCAAAGTAGGTGGTGGTTCTTTTAGCTTTCCTTTGAACTAGCCTAAAAAGGAGCCCTTGCGTAGTGTTACAGCGGAAACTAAAGGAAGACCCACATTTGTTTGAACTAGGAATGCCCTTGAAAGTTGGTTGTTTTCAGGTTGGTTTACAAGGGGAAATCAAACACTGATGCCATTTTGGGCATGTCAATATATTTGAGGAGCCCTGAATTTGCTCAAAGGGAAGCCAGTGGGCAATGTGTTGACTTGTCGACACCTATCCTTTTGTGGACTGGGTGTATTTCTTTGATTTACCCAAAGGGAAGCCAGAGGGTGTGTCATTAAAACACATCTATCTTTGTGTGGAGCCGTGGGTGTAGTGGTTTAATTTTCCCAAAGGGAAGCTTTGTGGAGCTCTGGTTTCTTTGATTTACCCAAGAAGCCAGAGGGCAATGTGTTAAAAAGAGGGCCATCTTAGTTGAATGCCATTTTGGGCATGTCATTGTATTTGAGGAGCCCTGCCTGATTTAAATTTGCCCAAAGGGAAGCCAGAGGGCCATGTGTTACTTCGTCGATGTCCCCTATTCACCTCCCAGATCTCTCCTCCGCCAGGCCTGTCCCATCCAGTTCTTCGTGCCCGAGTTGTACTTCGACGAGCACACGCTGGAGCAACTGAGGCAAGCCAGCGACGTCTTCTTCGAGCACCTGCTGGCCTCTCGGCCTAAGACCTCGTCGCATGAAGGCGATGGACCCTCAAACTGCCCATACAAGAAGTGATTTTGCCCTGAAATGATGGGGTGATTCCCCTTTTTTTCAGGATAGTTTGGGGGTCCAGGTGGATCTTTGGACACTAACTTGTTGGCTGAAACAGGTCGGATGTTCCGAACTGGACCCCAAAAGTGAAGAACTCTTGCAGAGGGCATGGGTGGTCTATATGCTTCTGCGAGTTTCCCCGCAATTCCTGTCACACCAGTTGTTTGGAAGTTCGTGGGAAGGACTGATTTCCTGGATTATATACCCCCCAAACCAAATACCTGTTTTTTTTTGGGGGGATAGTTCTGGAAACCATACTTTTTGCCAATAAGGTGACATCATACCCTGAAAGAAGTGGGTTGTTGTGTGTAGGGGATCAGGTTCGGCAAATTTGTCCTTCTTAGTCGACCCCGGATCAATCAACCCGGTGGATGTTCCGACTTTAGCTTTTTGGGAAGTCAAGTTGGTTTTCCGTTGAACCCACACTCAGTGAAGATTCTTTTGATTTTGCAGAGAGGTCCTTGCAGCAACCAAGTTTAAGGTAGCGAAGATACACAAATGAGTGTTTCTCAAAATAGTGAAGCTCCGAAAGATGGGGAATGATTCCTGTTGGCTTCCCTTAATGATCATGTTCACCCAGGATTAATGAACCCGTCCCATTTTTTAGGGGGTGTTCCCTCCAAAAGTGGTCTGAATCCCCACCAAAAGGGGACACCCCCCAATTAATCAACCTGCCAGGGGTTCTACTTGGATCCGGGTTTAGCATTAGGGTTGACCAAAGGAGCTGCCAACCCCCAGAAAAGGGTCTTTGATGGCACATGTAAGTCTAGGTCAGTGTTTCTTGGAGTTGGTACCACTTGGAGTTTCTAGTGAAAAGGGAGGCGGTCTCTTCGATTTTTGCCCCAAAGCCCCCCTTCTGCCGCCATCAGCGAGGTTGAGATGAGCCAGCTCCAGGAGCGCTTGGACTTGTTGGGCGGCAAGAACTGGCGGAACCTGCTGCAGTACTCGCCCCTCAGCTTCCGTAGAGTCACGCTCATCAGGGAAACCAACTAGCAGGGATACAGGACAAACCAGGGATACAGGAGGATTCCCCCTAAATGCATCTTGACTAAGTTTATGGGAAATGGCGCCAAGGGAATCCCCCGATATCCCCGCTCCCTCCGTATCCCCGCTTATTCGTTTGTCCAACGCTCAACATGGGCAGAACAGAAGGAACAAAGGGAACAGAGGTAACAGCGGGGAACGGAGGATAGTTCAGAACGCGGGAACAGAGGGAACAAGAACAGAGGATTCATTAGAACAGAGAGAACAGAGGGAACAGAGGATTGAGTGGAGGGAGCAGAGGAGAGAACAAACCTCTTTTTTCGGGGTATCCTTGCTGGATGGCTCTAAAGGGAAGCCAAGAGGAACACACTTCCCGTTTTGGGGTGTTTCCGGTTTTTCCTATGCCATGGGCACAAGTCTGGAACATGTTCTCAGGGACACGCCCGGCTGACTCTAGCTTCCCTTTCCTTTCCTTTGGTGAAGGACAGTGTTGGTGTTGTGCATATTCTTTTCCACTCACTGACTGTCCCGGCTTGCAGACCTTCGAACTTTGGAAAGTCGGTTTAGTGATATTCACTGTTCGCTTGTTTTTAGGTTTTCAGTTTGTTGGTTCAGATCATGTTTAGTAGGCAGCTGCAGAAAACATACCAACGGTTGGAAAGTGATGCATATCATGTTGAACTGCTTTCTTCAAGCCATTCCGGAGCTGAATCAATGAAATGCGGTGCTAGTGCAGTTGTTTCAGTGTTTCAGCGCGCTGTTAGTCTTTTTACTTGACGTATCTCAACCAGAAACGGACTTTCACAAGGAGGTACCCCTTGATTGCCCTGATCCTTTGGCCGAGTCTCGGCAGAGAAATGTGAGTGTTTGAAACCAAACGCTGTTGCGGTTCAAGGAGTTGGCTTGAAGAAATGGCGAAATCACGGCCCACACGTTGTTTATCCAAGAGTGATTAACCCAGGACACTGAACCGTTTAGCGAATAGTGACTATTTGGGCCCGTCTTTCTTTGCGGGTACCCTTTTTTGTTGTGGCTTTAAAGGGAAATCCAAGGAAGACCGCTGCGCCATTTTTCTTCCTTTGTTATTGAAAAAAGAAAGGTCCCGATAAAGCGATAAAACACCCATTTCAACGAATGGAGCATCGCAACATGCGTGTTGAAGGCTACTTTGCAAGTAAGGGACTAGGCATGCTAAGGGGACCAACCCCAGTTACCCAGTCAAAACCTTGGCTATAACCTACTTACCTGGACCCTCAAACTACCCGGCAAAGTATGGGTTATTGCCCAAAATATGGGGTGACTTCCCGATCTTGAGAATTGGTCCAGGAAACAAAAACACAACTACGAAGACCTGTGGTTTCTTAGACTGACCAAAACCTCAAGATTCCAAGTTTTATAGGCCGTTACCCATAAACATGGGTGATTGCAACCCAAGATTATGGTTGGTGATGTCCCTTGGTTCTGAGCAAAATGGAGGGTCCGGGTACCTTACTAGGTCCCCCAGTAGTGCCCTTTTCGCCTTTTTTGGGGGGAGGGTTCCCCCACTACAATCGACTACAGAAAAAGTTGGTACCCTTATTCTAACTTCTCTACTGGAGGACCCAGCTTACGTCCTGAACCGTTGCATCCAAACAAAACCCGGCGGTCGAGTCGCTCCGCGACTCGCGAGGTTGAAGTTTATGAGCACCACAGAGGTGGGGTCCATGCTCATGGACGCCATCCCGGACCCCAAGACCCGGAAGACGGCGACTTGGCCTTTTTGTCCCGTCTTGTTTTTTTTTTTTTTTGAGGGGGGTGGAAAGTGCGGTGTTTTTGGTTTGTTTTGCTCCATGTTTTGTGTGTGTTTTTTAGGGGGGGACCAGCTTCAACTTTTTGCACTTGTTGGTTTTGGGGAAGCCTCTTTTTTGGATATGGTTGATGTCTCAGCTCCTTTTGGGAAAACGGGGATTCTAGCTGCTTCATTTGCACTCCAAGCTGGTTGGGTGTTGAAGTTGTAGGAGACCTGGACTATGCCAGGTGCACCTCAGCGCATCAAACTGTGGCCCCAAAATCCTGCCAGATGGCAGCGTTTCCCTTGTTTTATCCAAGCAAACCGTGCAGCAGTGCGACACATTTCCAGATGCCCACCGCAGTTTAAGCTGGGAAGCTCAGGGAGTGTCTTCTTTTTTTGTTGAGGGTGCCCTTTTTTTGCTTGCTTTGAAGAGAGACCAAAATGAAAACCGTTCCGCCAGTTTGGGGGTGCCCCTATCTTGCTGGTCCTTAGCAGGGAATGAGTGCATGCCGCCCACAAACCATGAAAAACCGGTGGTTTCCTTTGAGCCGATCCCTGGGATCAATCCCACCACCCGGAAGGTCATTCCCTACGGAGCACCAAGTTTTGAGACCAGCCCCGATTGTTTCATCGTGTCCGGGAGTTTCGCATGTTAAAGAGCCCAGCTTATGGACCATCTGAAAACCTCCTTTTCGACTTCTTCGGTTTCCCTTGGCCAGCTACAATGGCTTCCGTGGAAGCACTCGTTTCCAATTGCGTTGCCTTTAACACGCGCAAAAAGCGTACCCTCCCCAAAAACACCGCACAACACACGTTTCCATATTGCCCGCCTCAGTTTCAACTTGGGAAGCTTAGGGGTGTGTCTTTTGTAAAGGGAGACCAAGCGGAACACCGTTCCCGTCTGAGCACCAAGTTTTGAGACAAGCCCGTGGACTTCGTCGGGTTTCGTTGGATTTCAGGTGGAGAACGCCATCACGCGGGGGCTTTGGGACCAGATGGCAGAGCTGCAGCCGGCGGGGTGGGTTCGAGGGTGTGGCCGGGTGGGGCTCGGGATTGCGGCGTATTTGTTTTTCAGTAGGTGGCCGTTCCCTTTGGTTTCCCATGACAGCAACGGGTCCCAACCGATTCCCCCAAAACGCCACAACGATGACACGGCCGTAGAATATGAGCTGTGCTGAGGCCTGGAATCTATAGAGTCTGGTCGATGAGAAGGCGGCATGGCAAATGGTTCGGATGAGGATGCTTGTAGCCCGAGGGGTCATCCACCAAGGAAGAGCTGTTTGGATCATCACACTGGAATATGATCAAGGAACATGATCAATAAAGCTACTGTTGATGGACAAAACCCCCTTCACGAGTTGGTAAATGGTTTATTCCAGTATTCATATGGGATCATCCATTCCGACTTCAGGATTTGTCCATCCACAGTATGACAAGTGATAGAGCCCTATCTCTCGCCAGTTGTTTAGGCACAGAGAGACCTGCACCTCCTGTGGGTGACTTTCATGATGAAATAGCGCATGGCAGTCCTTGGAAATGAGTCACTCAGGACTTGTTGGTCTCAAAGCGAGCGGTGTGTCCTCAAAAAGAAACATATGAAGTGTGGAAGTAAAACTGAGAGCCTTCTCCCAAAATGGCCGGGCATCATTCCGTTCATGAAAGTGATGTCCAACAAAAAGTTCATGTCCAATTCAAAGTGCATAAATCCAGCCATGTAAGTTATGTCCAACAAAGAGTCCATGTCCAATTCAACTTCATACAATAAAGGGTTGATGGACGAAAACCTCCATTTGGAATGAATGAACTCCTAGGCTAGTATAAACTGATTAAACTGATGCGAAGTGGAGTTTCTCCATCTGCAGTATTGTAGGATATTTGTATGGCACCCAAATGGAACCCTAAAAACCGTAGTTTTTCTCGGTGTTCCTTCAAACCCACACAGACCTAGACTTACATGTGCCATCAAAGACCCTCTTCTTGGGGTTGGCAGCTCCTTTGGTCAACCCTATACAATGTAAACCTTGGGCGTTTTTGGGCAATGCTAGTTCCTTTCTGGTGATCAGCGGATTCGGCACAAAACACGAGGTCATCATCGTTTGGTTTGGATTTGTGTTGGACCGTCGGGGGTGTCTCGATTCCGCGACTCCGCGTCTTTTTGTTAGACAAGCCTTTGTGGGTTTTTGTTAAACGAGAAACAACAAAAACACCAAAAGGTTGTCGTATCCTCTAATCTGTATGACAGCACAGAGCCTGATGGTACCTAGCAACACAGAGCCGCACCTGTTCCCAAGGGTCTCCCAGATTGGCTGTACAGCTTTCCCGGAAACGTTCCAGAGGCTTCCGGGTTGCAGCAACATCCCAGAGGCTCCTTGTAGATTCGATTTCCTAAGCATGGCCACTGAACATCTCCAAGTATGTCGATCAAAATGAGGAATCCACGGGAAAACCACCTCATGTTGAATTCCCTAGGTCCCCCAGTAGTTCCCTTTTACCCTTTTTTGGGGGCAGCCTTCCCTACTAAACTAGCCTACAGAAGAAAAAATCGGGTACCCTGATTCTAACCTCTCTACTGGAGGACAACCCTGAGCATGGGAGAACACCAATCCCGTCACTGACCTACACCCCCAAATTTGGCCCACCCCCGGAAAACGGGAAACACCCTACACCCCAAAAAATGGGCCGAGCCGCCAAAATTGGGAGGCCCACAGATCGATCCGCGCCGGGTGAAGCGGGGAGTCGGGAGGTGCTGGAGGAGCTTGAGGAGGCCATGGAGGACTACAACGCTCGCTATGACTGGGTCCAGGCGCCGGAAGTTTGGGCTGGAAGCACCTCATAAACACCGCGGGCTTCCCAACTCAGCTCACCTTTTGGAAGCTGCTGGACCTGAGTCACTTTGTTGGGGTTGGGTGGGTTGAGTGGTAAAGACCCAAAGAAAGACTAAACTTTTTGGGTTTGGTCGCCATTTTAGTGGTAAATACAAAGAAAAAGACTTGCTTTGGCCAATGCACTGAAGTGAGGTTTGGGCTGGACATAAGGGCCGGCTTGTGGACAACGTGGAACGCACCCCAAGTGTAGCTCACTTCCGGAGTTTCTGGACTTTCAGCCTTTTGGGACGACCAGTTTAGTGGGAATCAAAAACAAGTTTGGACTTGTTTTGGCCAATTCACTCAGAATCCACGGAAGGGAGGCGTTGGAACCCCAAACAAAATGAGAATGTCCGGTGACGTCTTGGAGCCCGAACAAAAATACAAGTGGAATGAATGAAGATAGCCGTGTCTTTGAGCGGTGAATCAGCTAGGGCGGCACGGGGTATCGGTTTCGGGTAGGCCCCTACCGGTTTTGCGGGTTGATGTTTGGATATTCGCCTGGTGGGTTATTGGTGGTGATGCTGTGGATGGACGAAATTCTGCACAGGGTTTCTTAGGCACAGGATTTCGTCCATCCACAGTATTGTTGTTATGGTGGCTTTAAAGAGAAACAAGGGCAACCGACCGGTTTTATTCATTGTTTGTTTGCGGGGGGGGGGGGTCACCCATATGTGTTGTTTTCTTCAAACCTCATTTAGGTTCCAGGACTCAAATGGCAATCCGAAATGGCGAAGAACAGATCGTTCGCCCCTACTGCAGGTCACTGAACAAACCAGTAGTCGGGAGGGTCGCATGGATTGAACCTTGTTGCTTCGAACAACCTCATTCTGGTCTCCCATAAGCCTACCGGTAAGATGTTCAATGCCTAGTTTTTGAATCAAGCCTTATTTATGGGCGCTCCTCTAAATCATGGGTTAAACTACGCTATGCGTTCAACCACTCCATGCTGTCAACCGTGTCAAACTAGGCCAGCTGTTTTAACATGTTGAAACCATGGCCTTCTTTCGCCAATCACTTTTACAGGGGTCCATCCAAGCAGTCGGTGCCTTTTGAAGGCCCAAGTGGCTTGGTGGTTGTATCCCCTACACCAAATGGCCGCCTTGTTTAGTTGGTATTTGTTGAACAACCGGTTTTCCAAGGAACAAATCCGGAAAGGGGGGGATATTGTGTGTAGCGAGTGCGTGTTTTTTCGTTTCCCCAAGCAGATGTTGTTTTGCAACTGATGGGGTGCATGGCACCTGGTGCTGTTGTAATCCACACCGGCGGTGTCGGTTGCTGTTGCTTGAGTTGTTTTAAAGGTCGTGTTGCCTTCAAGTTGTCGGATCCCATATGGCCATGAATTTGAATAAGGAACCCCCTAAAAACTGGTTTGTGGACAAAACACCCCACCTAAATGATGTCCACGAGAGGGTCCCTAATTGAAGTTCATGCCCATATCATTCCCAAACTAGGCGAGGGATTGGAGGGCCAGTTGGCCACAGTTCCCTCCAACCCTTTTTTGCCCGCAAGGGGCCGGATCCGCCGAGTTACGTGGAGCTACCACCACAGCTGTTGAGACATCCCTCAAGAATTCGCAGACGCCCAAAAGGCCCCAAGGGCATCATCCAGGTGGTTTTCTGGGAGATCACCCCATGTTGGGGTAGTATCATGTTCAGGGTCGTTTTTTTGCGGACCCAGCTCCCCCCCAAACAAAAAAAGAAAGAACACAACTCCCCCCCCGCCCAAAAACAGAAGAAGGAAGAACATTTCCCCCCCCCCAAAAGGAAAGAAGGAACGCCAACAAAACGGAAAGTCCCCCCCAACCCCCCCCCCCACCAACAAAAAAAGAGCGAACATATACAAACAACAACATCAAACAGTAAAGAACACAAGACCAGCGAACGTCACAGCGTTTTGCGGGCGTTTTTTCGAGATGATTGATTTTGCCAGGAGGACATCGCCCAGAAGCTGGCTCAGATTGCCAAGTGCGGGGAGCGGCAGCAAGTGGCGGAGGAGAAGTTCGAGGAAGCGGTGCCAGAGGTGCCCGAGGAGCGGATGGCGGCGCCGTCAATACTCAACACCCCTAATATCAGGGTTGTGGGATCAAGGGGTTTCTCCCCACTTCTGTGATACAAGGGAATCCCCCTTTCTATTAACAAAATAGTCTTTGGGAAGCCCTTTCTGTTGTATCACAGAAGTGGTCATTCCCCACAGCCCTGCCTAATATCTGTGTAGTCTTTTTGGTTTCCCTGGCCAACCCCAACAAGGGTTCCCTCACAACCCACGACCATACTTTCGAGGCGTTGCCTGGCAAGCAAGTCGGGAAGCCAGAAAGTGCGGCCAAGTTGGTTTGTTTGGTTCGCGCAAAAGCTGTTCGCTCATAGCTTCCTGAACTTCATTTAACATGCCCCCGCAAAAAGAACGCTCGCTTGAAAAAGAACCAAATTGTGATGCCGATGTCTAAAACAGCGCAGTGATTGGTTTTTCGCCCTGCCCCTAGCCTGATGACAATATGGAGCACGAGGGAGGGGGGGACGACCCCTGCGACAGCCGGAGGACTCATCTTCTGAGATTGAACCGGAGAACGAGGCTGAAGATGAGGAGGACATGAAGCGGTGGGCTAAATTGATATTTGGCCGTGGCTCCAAAAACGTACCAAAATATCCCCTTGGCAAATGGAACCAAAGACCCAAAATCTGCGTAATCAGTTCTTTAATTTTGAGCCACACCCATTCGGCAAAATAGGGAGCCCCAGAATGGCGGTTTTCCTTTTGGTCTCCCTTCAAGCCAAGCTCATCGGGCTGAATACTCTCAAGGATCTCACGCGCGCCCGCACGCATAGTCTTTTGGGGTGATGTGAAGGATTTGAGCATCTTAGGTGGTTTCGAGTGGAAGCAGCATCACTCTATGGGTACGTTTTTGCAAAGCCCATTTTATTGGTGAAAAGGCTCACCAAGAAGCGTCCCCTACACCCAATACGAACTTGTTCAGGGTATGATGGGGTATGATGTCAACCCCTTTGCTAAAATTGAAGGTATTGCCATGAAAAGCGTGCTTTTGTGTTCCAAAACATACTCGAACAAGGCAGATATTTGGTGTAGGGGGGAAGTAGCAGCACCTTGGGCAGGAGTCGGTTCAGGATGACAACAGCAGCGCAGCTTCCAGTGCTGACGACTGGGATGAGGAGGAGGACACCCGACGTTTTTTTCGAGCCGCAAACTAGGGGGGCTTGACTGAGGACGCAGCCAAAACAAGGAACCAACAAGTTACCCTCCATATTTTTTTTGGGGGGGGGTTTCCGAGAGTCCGCCTGCCAAATTGAAGATCCACGCCCCCGCTAAGTGAAGTCGTTGTACCCCGTGTCAGGGTTTTACCGTGACATTGGCAGGTGTTTCTGTCCAAGCTGCCCCTCTTTGATTTCCCCAGTTTTTGTCTTATTGTTTAGTCAACATTCCAAAAGGAATGCCTTTTAATTCAAGTCCCTTACGTCCTCCATTCGTTGTTTTCTTCCGTCAACAAGAAAAAAACATGGAGCCTGAAAGGGACCCGTTCCTGGAAGACCGCTTTCATGTGTTTTTTTGTGGGGAGGGTACAGGGCCCTTTTGGCGGTTCCCTTTTTAAAGTGGGTTGTTTTGGTGATGGGTGATGTAAGGGGTGTATACATGCTATACTGTTAATTCCTGAATCCTGAAACTACCCGTAAAAAAAGGAAGTTTGGGCGGGGGAGGGGGTCCAGGAACACACATCTATGTATATCAAACTAGAAATATTGCTTTGGGTCAAAAATAAGTACCCAACATGGAACCCCGGCAAATGGACACCCGAACAAAATCTGCGGTCCAATTGCTGGCGGCGTTTGTTTTCACCCATACCCATATAGGGTTATGCCTGGAGTCTCCATGACCCTTAAAAATGGTTGGTCATTACCCAAAGTTAAGGGGTCATGCACCCATGTTTTAAGGGTCAGAAGGAGACTCTAGGTATACTTCAAACATATTCACACAACCACTATACAGTCATTTTGGCTCGCAAAATACTGCCTTACTTGGGAGTTCCGCTGACTTAAGTGGTATCCTGGCTTATGGACCCACTTCGTGGGACTTGGCAGGAGGTCCGGAAGTTCATCCTGCTCAAAGGGGTGCCGCCCTCCAAGGCTCAGCTCAAGAAGATGCGCAGGACCCAGGCCGAACTGGCGAAGTCGAAATGGGCGAAGTGGAAAAATGCCGTTCCGAAACACTGGCGTTAAGAATCAGGGAGGCGACTGGCTTTGGCGCATTTTGCCAAGGGATGTTAGGGCTTTGACTTGTTGCCAACGAATGCGGTTGAACCACTAAAAGTGAAGCTTGAGCAGGGGAGCAGAGTTCGCAACCGAGCTGGGGTGTTCGGCCAAGTCACTAAGTTGTAACATTCCTCCCAAAAGTTGGGAGCGACTCAAAGGTGGTTCGTGGACATGAATCCAAACCGGAGTCCGATGTCCAACATGGGTGTGGCTCAGAATTAAAGAGCTAGGGCAAACCGCAGATTTTGAGTCCTTGGTTCCATTTACCAAGGTGCCATTTTGGTTCATTTTGTTGAGCCACAGCCACATTTCGGGTCCTAGACACATTCAAGTTCACACCCCAAGCTCAAGTTGCTGGCATCCGGTCCTTCGGTATAAGGACACCTTTCTAATAGTGGGTAGACCCAAAAGTCAATGGGTTTTGGGCTAAGGCCTACCTGGACCCTCAAACACTGTTCAACTATGATTGTTGGGTTGCAATAACCAATGTTTATTGGTTTGAGAGTTCAGGTACCTTTATAACCATAGTTGGAACCAACTGTCGATGGGGTCCTTGGCTGCCCATGTCTTCGCTTCGGCGAAATTGCGCGCACGACACCTTCGAGCGAACATCTCTCGCGAGAGGCTAGGGAGCAGAAGATGACGAAGATGAAGGAGCAGAAGGCCTCCAAGGACCTGCCAATTACAAAAAGGGATGACTAGTTGTGTGTTTTGTGTGCATATACACACATCTATTCGTGTATATTTAATGTTCATGTTTGTATGCATGCATATATACACAAAATGCATATATATATATATATTATGTGAACATACGACATACACGTCCCAAGTGCCGCCCTTCCAGCCTCGTAGGAGGAGGGCATCCAGCAGAAGAGCCGGGCGAGGATCCGCAGCCTTCTGGCGAGGTGGGAGAAGTCGGTGGCCTCCGTCAAGGAGGAGGCCAGCGAGCGGAACGGGTTACCTTCTGAAAGCTACGTGCCGCAAGAGAACAATGCACGAAATAAAAGAAGCCCCTAGGCTGCTTTGTTCTGCAATCTCCGCGCAATAGCTCTTACTGGAACGAGAGCGTTTCTCATGCCCGGGTGGCCGGAAGATGTATTTTTTTGTTTTTGTGTTTTTTTTCATTTTTTCATATTTTTTTTGCGGCGAATCGCTGTGGCAATTGAGACGGAGATGGTGAAAGTAGATGGCGGACTGCGCCCATTTTGGTGGAGTCGTCCCCCTTTACTTCAAAAGGAATTGTGTGTGGTGTACCTTTGGGGGCTAACTTAAAATGAGTTTGCATTAGTGTGTTTTGCGTGATGCTTTCAAACATAAAACGATTCATTTTATTCGGTGTTTCCTACGGGACCAAATCAGAAAGCCCAGCCTTTCACATGGCAGCTTCAAATCTCAAAACGCCTGTTTCGGCAGTATTGAATCTCCCAAAATGGAAAAGGGAACCTGTTTTGGGCAGTACACCTTTGAGAAGCCATGATTTCCCACTGCCCGGACCCTTCTCATCTTTTCCGCAAGCGAGGCTGACTTGAAATGGCGCCATGTACCAAAACAGCGGCCATGTACCAGCACCAACCGCCTTCCTCGAAGTACGGTCCACAAAGCAGTGGTGCTGGTATGGCACGACTACTATATTTATATATATACCCTGGAAATCCACGACTGTTTTTTAAACGTCCTTTGCACCTCTCCTGGCAAAAAACCGCCTTTCACAGAAAGCATGCACAATAAACCGCCTTTGGAACCCCAGGGTATATATTGCCTATGTGGATGGTGTAAAGGGGGCGACACCGGACGACTCACGGTTTCAATGTAGCTTCGCAAGCCATGAAACCCCGAAAGGCCCTTTAAAACTTTGCCTTTCCATGGGTTGCGCCCGGAATTCGTGTCCAACTGAAAGAGACTCCTATTGAAAAGAAAGACGAAAAGGGTGGAAACCCTTGCCTTAGGCCCTCCCCCTTGGATACATTTTTGTTGGCGCGTGAAAAAGGGTGGGTCCCATCGATCGGCTCCAGCGGCAACTGACTGCGCGAGGTGAAGGTCTTGGAGCAACCGCTGCAGGACGCGCAGCAGCAAAGTGCGGACACCATGGACGAGGACCCGATCCGCGAAAGTCGCGGTCGAGTCGCTCGCAGGACGCCGCGACAGAAGCACTCCAGGCGAATGGACTCCCCGCTTTTCAAGTGAAGGTCGCATAGTATTCGGTTCCTCGTGAGTTCGAGGGGGGGTGACTTTGGCGACTTTTTTTTGTATGCCCTCGGTTTTTGTTGACGGAGGGACTTCATTCAAAGAAACGACCAAGGAGGAGAAAGTCTTTGGAACGCTGGTTGTTTCTGCGATTCGGGCATATTCGGAATGTCTCCCATTGAATTGGGGTGGTGTGTGTTCCCTAGATTTGGGGACCAATTGGTTCAATCCAGGTGGATTCAATGTTTGGAGAACAAAAAGCACGAGCCCATTTTTTTGGGCGTTTGGTTGCCTCCTGTTTTGAGCCATAGGACAGTGGTTTCATGGATCTATCGGTCGTCGGACAACCTGGTAGCCTCTTTTTTGCGGCACCATATGACACCAAAATGTCCACCCGAAATGAGTTTCATATGCAAAAGCGTCATACATCATCATGGATGACATGTCTTGCTGCTAAGTTCTGAGTGGGTTAGGCTCAATTTACAAGTTGGTGTTCTCACACGCGAAGACACATTTGTGCAGATTTCCCCCTGGTTTCCCCACATGGGCGCACGGCATCGTTTCTTGGCGGTCCACTTTGCTTTAATTTACTGACATTATAAAGCTTACCCTGTGTGCGGTCTACAAGAGTTCTAACTTAAAAGCAGATGTCTTTTAATCACGTCGCACTCATTACAGAACTATCATGCTGGCAATGGCACCACGAAAAAGCGCTTCATGGCCCTTCAAGCGGCCAATGGGCAGCCTCTCCGGCAAAAGTCCTCTCGTGATTACATTAACCGTATAGGTAACCAAGAGGTTGTCCACCCTTGCCCGGTCTTGAAACTGAATGGAACTGCTGAAGCATTCCCACTAGATGTTCTCATTACCATTTGCATCCGTGGTGCAGACCGGCCCTATGGACCAGTTGAAATCGCCCCAAATGGACTTTTGGAAAAATCCAGTGGCTTTAACCACACCTGCAAAAGGGCGAGAACCTCTTTTGACCTTTGCTTGGAGTTGAATACATTTAAGGAAAAAGCACCAGGTGGCTTATCAAGGATGCATGGATTTTCGGGAGTTCCAGCTGCTTGCGTTCCGGTCCTCCAGTTCACCCTAATTGTAAACGCTTCGCGTTGCCCGCCTCGGCCCAGCCTAGTTTGAGGGAAGGGTCAGGAACACCGAAATCCAGTGTTGGGAAGGTCCGAATCCTACTGAAAGCTTGTGACCGCACCAGCTCGCCCGTGCTATGGAACCCCAGGTGTTTGAAGGAACATGTAAGTAGAAGCCAAATGACCACCAGCTACCAACTGCAAAGCTGCTAGGTGAATTCACACGGTATTTTTTTTGTTGCGGTTCTCATCCTGAAGGACCCCTCCGGCTCAGTCCGCCGACATTGTCCTCTCCCTTTTCTCCTTCTTCCTCTCTTCCTTGTCTCCCTTGTGTGTTCTGTCGTCCTCTCTCCCTCCCTCTGCTCCCATCCTCCCCATCCCCCCAAGCCTCTCTCTCCCCAATCTCCCTCTCTCGTATGTATGCATGCAATGTACTATGTATGTATGTATGTATGTATGTATGTATGTATGTATGTATGTATGTATGTATGTATGTATGTATGTATGTATGTATGTATGTATGTATGTATGTATGTATGTATGTATGTATGTATGTATGTATGTATGTATGTATGTATGTATGTATGTATGTATGTATGTATGTATGTATGTATGTATGTATGTATGTATGTATGTATGTATGTATGTATGTATGTATGTATGTATGTAATGTATGTATGTAATGTATGTATGTATGTCATGTATGTCATGTATGTCATGTAATGTAATGTAATGTAATGTAATGTAATGTAATGTAATGTAATGTATGTACGTATGTATGTATGTACGTATGTAATGTAATGTAATGTAATGTAATGTAATGTAATGTAATGTAATGTAATGTAATGTAAGGAATGTATGTATGTATGTATGTATGTAATGTATGTATGTATGTACGTAATGTATGTATGTATGTATGTATGTATGTATGTATGTATGTATGTATGTATGTATGTATGTATGTATGTATGTATGTATGTATGTGTGTAGGTATGCATGTAATGCATGTATGTATGTACGTATGTATGTATGCATGCATGTCTGTATGTATGTATGTATGTTGGTATGTAATGTATGTATGAAATGTATGTATGTATGCATGCATGCATGCATGTATGTATGTATTTCCCGCAAAAAACACGGTTTTCCAGCGTTTTCGCAAAGAGGACGTCCAAAAACATTGAGTTTTTCCAGATTTTCGGCAAAAGGATGCAGGAAGCCCAAGCCAGCAAAAAAGCCGGCAGGGGGAATCGAGCCTGGGACCCCTGTTTTGCGACACCGGCTCCCCGAAGACTACGTTTAGTGGAACGTCATCAAATTGCCGCGCGGTACGTGGGGGACCCCCCCCCCTCCCCCCCCCCCCCCCCCCTCCCCCCCCCCCCCCCCCCCCCCAAAAAACCTACGTAATAGACGTCGGGCGGGGGGGGGGGGGGCTAGGGGGGGGGTTATCCTCTATCCTCTAGTAAGTATCCGACACGCCGAGCAATGTCGGCGGACTATCACTATTGAGGATATTTTTCCGGGGTACTTAAGCAAATGGAGGTTTGTATTCCCATCATGTACCTGTCTTGGGCTGAGCAACCGAGCAAGAAATGTATGTCATGGCAAGCCGCCAGCCACGTGAAATGGAGGTGCCCAAACACCCAAAGCTAGTCTTGGTTGTTCAGTGACACCAATTATTGTTCCCCTTTTTATGGAGGCCAAGCCCCACAAAAAATGCTCATCCCCAGAAAGAGGTCCTTTTTTTTCCAAGGGCACTGAGCAGCAGAGATAGTCTTGGTGTTGGATTTCAAACCTTCCGAGCAGGACGGCTTCCGAACATCGAACTAGCAGGACCCCTGTTTAAAAGCAAACCCGTCAAGTTGCCCAAGTAAAAGGTCGTCACATCAAGTTGCAATCGTCAGGACCCTTCAAGGTCCAACACGGGAAAGCAAGCCATAGGATGACGGCCCTTAGGCCTATGCCCCGTGGTCACTCAGACTTTGCAAGATTGCAAGTGCATGTACGATGTAGCCGATAGAGGCTCGAGAGACATGCCGCGCGAGCAAGAGTGGTTCGCGTGCGACCGGTGCACGAGGTGGTTCCGGTCTGAGGACGCGCTGTGGCAGCATGAGCAGGCAAAGCACGTGGATGAGGAAGACGAACAGGAGCCGAAGAAGTGTGAGAACGAGCAGGAGCCGTCGTCCGGGGAGTACACGTACGAGACGTGCTACACGTACGAGTCGGAGGTGGAGTCGGAGGCGAAGCCGGAAGAGGGGCGGACGGAGGCAGAGGAGCGGGTCTGGTGCCAACTGGACGAGCAGGCGCGCGTTCAGATGGGCCAGCTGACGAATGACGAAAAAAAGACGGTGTACCAGAAATGCCAACAGCAGAAGCAGCTGCGGAATGTGTCGGCGTGCCTGGGCGGCAGGTGTTGGCTGGTATGAACATGGCATGATTGGCTTGGAGTGTCACATCATTACAATCAGGTGTTACACCGAATGGCTATAGGGAGCATCAAGTGTCACGCTTCGAGGATGAAACGGGGGAACGAGTATCACAACGGGGTCAAGGGTGAGAGGATGAGGGGGCGCGGGGGCGATGGTTTTGGTGGGGGGCCGGGGACGACGGTTCTGGTGGGGGGCCGGGACGACGGTTTCGCAAAACCACCACGTCCCTTTGAAAGCGTCCAAAAACACAACCACTAACATCTTGGTGAAAAAGCCACGATTACCTAATATGGGTCACCCTCTGCTTCCCTCAAACCGCGATCCTGTAAGGGCGACTGTGTCGCGAAACCACCACTCCCAACCCCCGGCTTCTTGAAAGAAATAGACCCCTGTACTTCTCCAACCCCTGGCTACCAAGTAAGAAATTTCACCAGCAAAAAGGAAATTCCCCCAGAAACTAACCTAGTCTGAGAGAAATTGCAGCACTTATTGACTGTGCCACCTTCCACAAGTTGTTTGGGGGCTGCCCTGAGGACGACAACCCTGCCAAACTCTCACCCCCAGCGGTCTCAGGTTTTCAGAAAGTATAGGGCGATTCATACAACTAGGAAGTCGGTGATGCACTGCAACATAGTTCGCATTGTAAGGCCCGATGAACCGGCCGAGGGCAGACAATGACTTGTCACATCCTTTGAACTTGAAGCTGCAACAGACCGAAAATACCTCAGAGGGTCAGGGAGCAAAATAACTCCAAGAACTTGACTAAATGCAGATGTTGGGCGCAAGCCGCTTCCATGCCATAGACCGCCCCCTTCCTGACGCTGAAGTGGCAGCAGTTCTATCGCTGCTAGGCACATGACACCCGAATGGACTGTCATGGCACTTGAATGCAACGAAATAGCCTTAACTAGAGCTCGCACCCGAGGTTTGTCATGGCTTGCGCGCGCTCCCTTCGTGGAGGGCGTGGTCGTGCGCAGTGTGTTCCGCGTGAGCGGCGCTCGGCGAGCCGGGACGAAGGCGCGATCGCTGTTGGCTAGGTGTCCGTTTGCAACGCCAGGGATGTGGTGAATGGGGCGTGTTGCTTGGCGTTGCCTCTGACAGGCAGACGGTCAGCGTCCCCTGCGCGCAGGGAGGAAGGCGCGCTTGCACTGCAGTTTTCTTTTTTGTGATCGTTGGCAAGATGAGTCTACAATGTGAAAGGGCTTAGACTTGCGCGCTACGTGATGTTTCTGCATTGGACTGGGGGTTGTCTTGGAGCCACTTTTCTTGCGCTGGGATGGGAGCGCGAGCTGTTGCGCAGGCAGACCCGTCCCGCGGCAGCGTAGCGTGGAACGGCAGCCTGGAGGCTCTGCTTCAACGTGACACTATGTAAAGGGCCCCTTGTGTCAAAACTTTACGTGGACCCTTCGAGTCCATTCTAACACTAGCTTGTTGAAAACCTGATCCTCAATGATTAGCGGATTACGGATTCTGCGGTTTACGGATTTGATTGTGCGGGTTGCGGACTACGGATTATGGGTTGCATGGACTTCCCATGTTCCAACATGCGGGGTGTTGACCCACAACTTGCGGCGTGGATTACGGATTGAGGAGATTACCAGCCAAAACAAGGAAGTGCGAGCTGTTGTGCAGGCAGACGCGGCCTGCGGCAGCGCAGCGTGGAACGGCAAGCTGGAGGCTCGGTTTCAAGGTGACACGGTGTAGAGGGCCCCTTGCGTCAAAACGTTACGTGGGCCCGCGTGTTCCAAACGTAATCCCCAATGCTCAGCGAATTGCGGATTATGCGGTCAGCAGATGAGATTGTGCGGTTCGTGGACTACGGATTATGGGTTGCATGGATTTCCCGGGTGCCAACATGCGGTGTTGACTCACAATTTGCAGCGTGGAGTACGGATGGTACGGATTGCGAAGATTACCAACCAAAACAAGGAAGCGCGAGCTGTTGCGCAGGCAGACGCGTCCCACGGCAGCGCAGCGTGGAACGGCAAGCTGGAGGCTCTGCTTCAAGGTGACACTGTGTAAAGGGTTCCTTTGTGTCAAAACCTTACGTGGACCCTTCGAATCCATCTTAAAACTAGCTGGTTCAAAACCGAAGTCCCAATGATTAGCGGATTGCGGATTACGCGGTTTACGGGTTAGATCTTGCGGTTTGCGGATTACGGATTATGGGTTTTGCATGGATTTCCCATGCTCCAACCTGCGGTGTTGACCTACAATTTGCAGCGCGGGGGACGGATTGAGAAGATTACCAAGCAAAACAAGGAAGCGCGAGCTGTTGCGCAGGCAGACGCGGCTTGCCGCAGCGCAGCGTGGAGCGGCAACCTGGAGGCTCTGTTTCAACGTGACATTGTGTAAAGGGCCCCTTTGTGTCAAAACTTTACGTGGACCCTTCGAATCCATGTTATGCGGTGTACGGATAAGATCGTGCGGTTTGTGGATTACGGATTATGGGTTGCATGGATGTCCCAAGCTCCAACATGCGGCGCTGACCGACAATTTGCAGCGTGGAGTACGGATTGAGAAGAGTACCAACCAAAACAAGGATTAAGCGGCTTTCCCATGCTCCAACATGCGGTGTTGGCCGACAATTGGCAGCGTGGAGTACGGATTGAGAAGAGTACCAACCAAAACAAGGATTCAGCGGCTCACGGATCGCGATGAGGCCCCCATGGATTTTGAACAGGTTAGCAAAAGAAGTTTGAATCTGATGGAAGGTCCATTTGACATTGTTTGATTTCGAAGAAGGTCAGCGCCAAGCGCCAGGTTGCGGTGAGCTGGGTTTCTTCATTGGCACATCCATCGCGCAGGTGGATCTGGGCATGGAGGCCCTGGCAGTTCGAGTGCACGCCATCGTGGAGGCCCTGGCAGTTCGAGCGCACGCCAGCGTAGAGGCGGGCTGTGGGGGCCGCAAGGGGCCCAGGGTGCGATTGGAAGGGGGCTCTGCGACGTGGTCTGAGGCGCAAAAGGGAGGTGTTTTTCTGGTGTTTGTCCAAGCGCTTTTTTGGGGTTTAACTTGTCCTGAAACCACTTGTTTAGGGTTTAGGTGTAGGACTTAACTTGCTCGCAAGCTCCCTGTTTAGGGTTCAGGGGTTGGTTTTGTGGTTGAACTTGCCCTCAAGGCATCTGTTTAAGGTTCAGTCTTAAAGTTTACCTTGCCCTGAAACTCCCACTTGAGGGTTCAGGTTTAGGGTTGAGGTGTAGCGGCTCATCTTGCCCTCACACCATCAATGGCTTAGCTTTTGGGGTTTAACGTGCCTTCAAACCTTCACTTCAGGGTTCAGGTTCTGGGTTGCGCTTGCCCTCAAGCCCCCTTTTAAGGTTCAGGTTTAAGGGTTTAACTTCTTTCAAATCCCCGTTTAGGGTTTGGTTTTGGGGTTTAACCGGCCTTTAAACCTTCACTTTAGGGTTTGGAGAGCTTCACTCGTCACCTTCTAACTTCTGGCTGAGCCTAGGGAAGATTGAAAAAGTGAACACAGTGACACCTTGACAAGCCACAGTACTACTACTGCTACTACTCGTACTACTACTACTACTACTACTACTACGACTACTGCTACTGCTACGACTACTACTACTACTACTACTACTACTAGTGCTACTACTATTACGACTACTAGTAGTACTGGTACTAGTACTACTAGTACTAGACTAGTACTAGTACTAGTACTAGTAGTACTACTACTACTATTACTACTACTACTAGTACTACTACTATTACTACTACTACTACTACTACGACTACTACTACTACTACGACTACTACTACTAGCAGTACTACTACTACTACTACTACTACTACTACTGCTACTACTACTACTACGACTACTACTACTACTACTACTACTACTACTACTACGATTACCACAGCTGCTGCTGCTGCTGCTGCTGCTGTTGCTACTACTAGTACTACTTACTACTACTACGACTGCTACTACTACTACTACTACTACTACTACTACTACTACTACTACTACTAGTACTACTACTAGGACTAGGACCGGGACTAGTACTACGACTACTTCTACTACTACTAGTACTACTACTACTACTACTACTACTACTACTACTACTACTGGAAGGCTCATTTGGCATTGCTTGATTCCGAAGAAGGCAAGTGCCAAGCGCCAAGTTTTTCGACTAGCTGGGCCCACCGCGCAGGTGGATCCTGGCATGGAGGCCCAGGCAGTACGAGTGCACGCCAGCGTGGAGGCGGGGCTGGGAGGCTGCAACAGTCGATTCGCCCAGCCGGTTGATTGGCTCATTGAGCGCGGTGTTGGCCGACAATTGGCAGCGTGGAGTACGGATTGAGAAGAGTACCAACCAAAACAAGGATTCAGCGGCTCACGGATCGCGATGAGGCCCCCATGGATTTTGAACAGGCTAGCAAAAGAACTTTGAATCTGAAGGAAGGTCCATTTGACATTGTTTGACTTCGAAGAAGGTCAGCGCCAAGCGCCAGGTTGCGGTGAGCTGGGTTTCTTCATTGGCACATCCATCGCGCAGGTGGATCTGGGCATGGAGGCCCAGGCAGTTCGAGGGCACGCCATCGTAGAGGCGGGCTGTGGGCCAAGGGCGCGATTTGAAGGGAGCTCTGGGACGTGGTCTGAGGCGCAAAAGGGGAGGTGTTTTTCGGGTGTTTGTGGTGCTCGTTGAGTATTTCCGGAGGATTTGGTCGAGTGTTTGGGTCGGCGTGTTGGAGCTGGTTGGTTGAAACAGAACACAGGGGAACAGTGCCCGATTTTTTGTTTCGTTTAGGCGTTGGTGCCTTTTGCTGGCGGGAAAGTCTTCAAGTGGTCTCATTCCGGCAAGCAGTCTGAAGTGTTTTGAAACCTCCGCGAGAGGTTGCGGGTGTTGCGGGCTGGCCATGTCAGGGACGAGTGCAAGAGCAGCTGGATACCATTCTGGCGGTGAAGACGGAGAAGGAGAGCGGGGTCGGAGTACGACGGGTAGACCTTTGGTACCAAACCTTGGGGATTGTCATTCAGCCAAGCAGCGGTCAACACCTCAAAAGGGCAAGATAGTGTTATTCGCCCGTGCGGTAGCTTTCTTGCTTGTGCAGTTTGCAGGCTTTCTATAGGTTTGTAGCCTTGCTGTCACCCAAGACCACATGAGCGCCCGACAATATTATTGAATAGCTGCGGTTGGTTCGGCGCGACATCTCTTAGCTCATAATCTCGAAAATCTACCAAAAACCCTGATAATCGATGGGGGCCTACCCAAGACTGATGCCCCTGTATAAGTGTAAATGCTTGCAAAGCTACATTGCTTGTCGCAGAAGTTTTTTTGGCTCTCGTAATCTGGTCGAAGCCATGGCAGAGTGGACCGTGGAAGAGCGCTTCAAGCTTGGGCAGGTAAATTTCGGGCAAGCAGACCGTGCCTGTGACAGACAGCTGTGATAGAGCCTGTAACAAAGAGATGCAACAGACAGATGTGACCGACAGATGTGACAGAGCCTGTGACAGACAGATGTGACAAGTAGTTCTGACAGAGCTTGTCACACACCCAATTTTGCGATGATGTATTTGGGAAGTAAGTAGTATCGTCCGATACTCATATGGGAGTCCAAAAAGTTTATTCAGGAGACTAGTACTCGGCGACCATTGGTGTTGGTGGAGATTCTGTGGTGGAGTTGCGAAAGTAAGTCGTATTGTCGCGAAAACGACAGCTCGTGAAAGCGACTATGGCATTGGCGCAGGCTGGCTACGTGAGCGGAGCTCACGGCGGCAGCCGCATGGAGGCCCAGGCCGGTCGTGCTCACGTCTGCGAAGAGGGGAGCGAAGGGTGTTGTGAGGGGAGCCGTGGGGTCTGGCTTGAGGTGCAAAACGGGCGGTGTTTTTGAGGGCGGTGAGGTGTGCTCGTTGATTGTTTCCTAAGGATTTCCTTAAGTGTTTGGGGCGGTGTGTTGGAGTTGGCTGGTTGAAACAGAACACAGGGGAACAGTGCTTGATTTGTTTCCCTTTTTTTTTTTTTTAAGGTTTTGGCATTGGTGCTCTTTTCTGGCGGGCAAGTCTTCAAGTGGTCTCATTCTGGCAAGCAGTCTGAAGCGTGTTGAAACTTCTGCAAGAGGTTGCGGATGTTGTGGGCTGGTCATGTTTTCGACATGTCAGGGACGAGTGCGACAGCATCCGGATACCATTCTGGCGGCGAAGATGGCGAAGGAGAGCGGGGTCACATGTGCCATAGTCAAAAGAGCTTTCTTCTGGGAGCGCGCCCTGAAGAAGCACTTTAGACAACCAGAGGCTTCCTTTCAACACTGCTCGAAAAGGGTGCAAGTCATTCGGAGGTGACGAGGTGATTGGGAAATTGTTTGCGAGGTACGGTTGATTCCGTTGATTGCAAGTGAACCAAAGCCAGAATACCAGGAAACAAGGGGCCGCTCCGTAAATTATCACGTTCTGTGACTGGTTTGCTAGTTTGATATTGCAACGGAGGACTATGAGTCAACCGAGGGTGTGCCAGCTTTGGAGTTGGTGCACTTGCGGTAACCAACTGGACCTCATGTTTGGAGACCCCATCAACACAACCCCTTTTGAATAATTCAAAGGGGTTTTCCAGAGTAATTGAAAAGTTGCGCCTTGCTGGAGCTGCGGAAATGCGTTTCGTGGACTAGCCAGGTAGCGAACAGGTACGACTTCTAGTCTTTCGAAAAGTTGTGAAGTTACAGCCGGAGCTGCAGAAACGCATTTCGCGTACTGCGCACGTACTTAACACGTGCGACTGACTGCCTTTAGCAGTGAAAGGGCGCGGCGATGAGTTCGTGACAGATCCGCGTCCGCGAAAGTCACTTTCATTTTCGCGCAGAATCACACGCACACGCAGACACAGACGCAGACGCAGACGCAGACGCAGACGCAGAAGCAGACGCGCGCACGCAGACGCGCACATGCAGACGCGCACACGCACGCGCACACGCGCATACGCACACACGCGCACACGCGCACACACGCACACACGCTGGAATCACCCCACACCATGCGAATTATGTGTTCTGGGGTTCGTGCAGAGGCTTATTGCCAGCCATCCCATGCTTCCGGTCCACAGGAGAGGGGCCTGGCTGGGCCGCTGAAGATCGCCCCTGGCACGGCGGGAGATGTCCGATTTTTTCCGCTGGGCGGCGCGAATGGTCAGGAATTTTGGACCTCAAACCTGGGATCGATTTTGAAAACACATGTCCTAGGTTCACGACATATGAGCCCAAATGAAGCGCCTTTTCTGGGGCTGGGCCTTCAAAAGGGGGGGGACAAATCCTGTGATGTTCCCGAAGGCTTTGGTTTACCAAGCGGTTTCCTTCCCGCATGAGTACCCATTTGACCGCAGTTGGAACCTTCTCACCGGGTCACCCAAGAAGTCCACTGAGCCCACGTGGGGCCACAAACCCGGTCCCCCCTTTCCAATTTCAGCGATGAGAGGCTCTCCATCTGACTTAAAGTGGCAGTCTTGGAAGGGGTCCATGTGTTCTTCCGTGCTGTTTGTTTTTCTTCGGCTTGGAGCGTCTTAGTCGCTCTACCCAATTCCACTCTTGCATGCGGTTCGCGAGGTGGAGCAGCTGAACGAGTTCGTGGACGAGCTCCCGGAGGTGCCCAGGGACAAGGCGAGCGCTGACCGTGTGCGACGAAACGCTTTGGCCAGTGGCTTACCAGCCCAAAAGTGCATACTGAGTTACTATGTGATGCGACCCCGTAAGACCTTTTGCGTGTTGTTTTTTGGCAACCTGTTGGGGCCAAGGTCTTAAAATGTTAACCTTTTGATTAAGGGAATTATGGCCGCATGAGGAGTGTTGACACATTTTTTCTAGTTGGTACCCCTTGTTTGGGTTTGTTGAAGGAGAAAACAAAAGCAAACCCACGTAAATGGGGGGGCCACTAGTCTGAGTCAACTCCACATGGCTGTGAATCTGAATTGTTGGGACACACTCAGAAATAATTGGCGGCAGTATAAATTCCTAAACGATGCCCACGAAGCCCGCTTTTCTGCTTGGTGAGTAGTACCGGTTGCCTGGCGCAGTCGGGAATCGCTGGGAAGTGACATGGAGGGGCAAGTGTGCACTTGTTTGTGCGAGTGTGACTGTGGGTTCATTCGTTTGTTTGTTTGTGTGTTTGTGTGTTTTAAGGGTACCTCTTTGGGGTCGGTTTAACAGGGAAACAAACTGAAATCACTATGCATACCCATTTCGATGGTTTCTTGTGGAGTACTCTTGCAACAGAAAAATAAGGCACGCAGCCCAGAATTAGAAGGAACCCGAAATGGGCGGGAGGGTCCACGAAGTGGACTTTGCAAACCAATCGACGTCCTTGTTTCATGTGAATCTGCAGAGGTGTAGGTTTTACACCGACGAGCCAATCTGTCCTAAAAGGCAGCTCCGTTTTTGCTGCGAGGTGTGGTGGGGAACTTCTTTGCAGCTTTGAGCAAGGTGGTTGAGCTGAGGAGCTGCGGACCGGATCGTGGGCTCCGTTTTTCCGCGCGGGTTGAAAGGCTTTGGGATGAGAACGTGGAAAACAAATTTGTCTTGGGTTCATTGGTGGTGCTCTTTTAGTTTGATATACTGGATATGGAATTATGTATCGCCAGCGTGGGCAGCATGAGGAAAGATAGGTGACGTGGCACCTAAGCTAGCTGGCCTTGCCAGTTTGCATTCGTGGGGGTTTAAGAACTTCCAAATGACACGGGAATGTCTCCTTTTTGGTTGGGGGACCACCAGAATGGCTTCGGTTGTCCATTTGGCTTCCCTCAAGAAAAGACGCACCCAAATAAATCCCAAGTGCATCATGTCGATGGAACAGTGTCCCGTTCCGGGAAGCAGTGAACGAAGCCCCAGGACAAAAACGGGAAGCCATTTTCCCAAAAGGAGATGCCTCTGAACCTTGAATCTGGGCTTCGTGTCCAGTGAGAGATTTTCTCCCCCCAACAAAATGTTTGAGAAGCCACCTGGAATTGTGGCAAGATCAATGGATTAGCCCCAAAAGCAAGATTTCCCCCTCCCAAAAAATGTTTGAGAGCCACCAGAAGGGGTTCCCCCCATTCTTTTTTCCGAGAAACCACCTGGATATGTGACAAGATACGGATTTAGCCCGAAAAAACAAAAAGGCTTTCCCCCCCAAAAAAAAGTTTGAGAACCACCAAAAGAGTGGTTCTGCTTTTGGCTTCCCTTGAAACCCAACCCCCTGGGTAGGGCGCCCGAGTGCCAAAAAGACGCCAGGAGCTGAACGCCCTGGCTGAGAGCCAAGAGGCGGCCCTGGCCAACGCGGCCGCCTCAGCGCTGAAAAAAAGGCCCCAAGTGGAGTGTGGATTCGACGTGTTGCGACGGATTGGTGGTGGGTTCTCTGGTCACTCTGGCCAGGATCAGCGCAGCTTGAGCGCCAGAAAAAGAGCAAGTTCTTTCCAGGAATCAGCGCTGTTGTGGGTTCTCTGGTTGTGGCAGCTTGCAACATTCGCGATAAAGTCAGCTCTACAAGAAACCGAAGAGAGGAGCTCAAAAGCCCCCTTCTTTTCCTCACGCAAGCATGACAAAAGCGGACGAAATCTCCTTCGCTGGTTCGCTCAACACAGCATTGCACCCAAACTCTTACCAGGATGAACGCTGTTTTTTGGTGCCATGCCATAAAAAGACGCAGATCATCCCGGAAATCCTGTGGATGGCCGAATTCCTGCACTTGGAAACCATGATTGAAACCCAATTCTACCAGGGTTTTTGTTCGAGCAGTGGTGCGAAAGGGATTTCGCAGCCATCCACAGCAGCAGCAATCTCCAGTGCATGGCCCAAGTCAGGCGAAACAATTTCTGAGTCCGAAACAGGCGCCGAGTCCCGAGTGCCCGGAATCAAACTCGGGTGAACGGAATCCAAAGCCACACCAAAGGTGGCACGCTTGCAAACTCAAAGAACCATGAACATCACGGCGCGTTAAAAAAAGCGCGCGCATAGTCTTAAGGTAGACATATTTGCTGAAACATGATTGCATAGCAGCGTGCGTGCGTGCGTGCGTGCGTGCGTGCGTGCGTGCGTGCGTGCGTGCGTGCGTGCGTGCGTGCGTGCGTGCGTGCGTGCGTGCGTGCGTGCGTGCGTGGGTGGGTGGGTGGGTGGGTGGGTGGGGGGGTGGGTGGGTGGGTGGGTGGGTGGGTGGGTGGGTGGGTGGGTGGGTGGGTGGGTGGGTGGGTGGGTGGGTGTGTGTGTGTGTGTGGGTGGGTGGGTGTGTGTGTGTGTGTGGGTGGGTGCGTGCGTGCGTGCGTGCGTGCGTGCGTACGCCTCCCTTCGCTGTCCTTACAAAAATGGAAACCACCCAGAGCAAGCTTTGAGGCCCACCCACCATCTTGCACCATTTTGGTCTCAAAGCTGTCAGATTCTTTCGCGGGAAGCAGGGAAGGGGAGCTACAAGAAAGCCATCCGTTGGGCTCCCCCAAAGGATGGACACAAATATCGGTGAGATGCTCGAGTGGCCCGAACCAACCCCCCCAACCATGCCATATCGCGAACCAAATCGCGAACCATACGGTGGATGCGAACTCCTGCACCGTTCAGAAACCCAACGGAATGGTTCGAATCCCCAACGTAAATGCCAATAAACCATGGTTTCATTCCCATGGTTTCCAAGTGGCGCAGGATTTCGTCCATCCTAAGTATGATGTTGATCATGATGTTCCCTCAAGCAGCTGTGGGGGGGCTAGAGAAAATTCCTTCATGGATAATTAAACGTGCCACGTTTCGCCCAAGGTCACCGTGCCGGACGAATTCCTGGACCCCATCATGTCAGACATCATGGCAGTGGTCCCAAGCGAATGGATTGGTTTCAGAAGCCCGCGAGCTGCGATGGCCTCCCCCCCCCGGCTTCAAAAAACCCTTGATTGAAGACGGGCGTTTCCTGATTCATCGACAGGCTTCTTGGGCTTTTCGGGTTTTTAGCAGCGTTTGGTTCTTCTTCGATCCGGGATCCTGCATCGCTTTCCCTGACTCGACGGGTTTCTTGAAGGATCATTGGATGGCTCGTCGACCTTTTTTGCGACCCGAAACTTTTGGTTGGTTCCAAAGGGAAGCCAACTGTAGAACTGGGGGGGGGGGAGTCCCCCGAAAATGAGAGTGACAGGCCGTGACTGCGATCGCAAGGAGGGTTTTTGGCGGGTTCCAAATGTTTTGATTGGGAGCCCTTAGGGTCCTTCTCAGACTTGCTCGAGAGAAATCCAGAGGTGTGTTTCAGAGCCTTGGCCAAAATAGCAAAAGGACCCCCTCTCCATGTTCTTGAGGTTGCTGCCATTTTTTGTGGGTTCCTTCAAATGGAAACCACTAGAGCCGCAATCAAACCTGGGTACGATGAAGGTTGGCAAGGGACAATCCTGACCACAAATGGGTGCAGAACTCCGCCCTTGCAATTCCCTCACATGCTCTTAGACCATTTTTCCTACCAGGTGTTAGGTGCATGACTCACCCGCAGCACCCCCCCAACTGATCTTTCCCTCCAAAATCCGGATCCTTGGTGTCCAAAAAGCGGTTTTAGGTTTTTGACTATGACCAGCACCCGACTGATTTATGTCCAAAATCTGGACCCTTGGTGCAGTTGGGACTTGGACTAGCAAGAAGCCTCCCATTTGTAAGCGACTCCACCTGGTTTTCCGCCCTTCTTTTGTAGTCATGGGTCCAAGAAAGGCTGTGATCACCTTTTTCTTTCCTGGGTCCAAGGCCACCAAAAAGGCTGTGATCACCTCCTTTTTCCCTTTTGCCCCCCAAAAAACGGCTGACCTTTGGATTTGTTTGCAAAAAAACCGTGCGATCGCCTTCGGTTTGGGGCGATCGCCTTTGATTTTCGTCGGGTCCCAAGACGGCGATCGCTCCCTTCGTCCCTTGCGCGCCTGGGACGCCGGCGGCCGGTGGCCACTTCTGGCGCTCGAAACTCGCAGGTGGATCCAGTCCTTTTGCCCACCTCCAACACCATCATGGACAGGAAGGCGGCCCGCCGCTTTTTTTCTTCTTTTTCTTTCCTCTGCCGAGCTGGGGAGTGCAAGCAATAACACCTTGGAAAAGCACAACTGTGTATATATGTATATATATATATATATATGTGGTCAGGCCCTCCCATGAACTACCTGTCCTTCTTTCTTGATGAAATGACTGCAAAAACACTGTGTGTTTTCCATAGTTATATATATATATATATATATGTAAGGGGCCCCTGTGCTGGCAGTTGTGTACTGGACATCAAACACCATCCACTGTATCCTGGTAGTTTGTGGGTGGCTCGCCATTCTAATTGTACCCTTGTTGGGGGCCATATGCAGCATATATTTTGGACATCCGATTCACCTGCGTGAGGCCAAAACAAACGCCTTTTTGTACATACGTGTCCTGGTGGGTTGAAAATAGATGAGTATTAAGCAACCAGGTCAACTAGGGCCATCCAATTTCTATTGGTAGTTGAGTGTGGGTTGGCTTACTTGCCATAGGCCACGGGGCATCCACTATTTGAGAGGCTGACATCGTCAGCCCAGCTTTGGGTCGGTTTGAGCCTGACGCCTCGCTCTCTTTCCTGGAATTCCGTGAGTTTGGCGAAGCATGTGGGTGTGTCTTGTTTCGGGGTAGCGCCAAAAAAATGTGTTCTCGAGTCGTGGAGTCATATTTATGAGTGTTATCGTGTGTATTACGTGGATACGAACTCCGTCTTGATTTGTTTACAAAGTGCCACGGTCAAAAGACACAGCTTGTTTGGGGCTGGGGACCAACGTCGAGCGTGACCATGGCCTTGACGTTTGATGGATGTCAGATCTGCGCCAGGCCCTGAAGAGGCTTCGCTTTGAAACAGACGATGCGCATGCTTTCGCGCCTTTCGGCCTTGCGAAGAGCTGGCGGCATCCAGTTTGCGGAATGAGTGTCCCGAAAAAAACTACCAAAAGAGGGGTTGCACCAACAAACCCAAAAAGGGGTTGTACTATTTCACATGGGGTGGTCTCTTGTTGGGCGGCTGAGCCGAAGAAGTGAATGTGGAAGTTTGGGGGGTGCCTTTGTTGGAGTTGGTTTACAGGGAAACTGAAGGAGCTCCCGAAGAAATGTTGGGGGTTCGGCCATATTTTAACATATACCCACATAAGCCGAGAAAAGATGGCGTGAATCCGAGTTGATGTAGGAAAAAGGGGACGAGCGAACCAAAATGGATGGGGTGGGATAGAGCCATTTGTTTTCACGCAGCCGTGCTTCGAACGCTAATCACTGTCTATTTGCGAGCCATTTGTGCATATTACAAGATGTAGCCGTATTTAGTGGGAGAGACGGACCCCTTGTTTGCTCTACATGTAGTCGCCCCCACAAATATGGAATCTGAAGCACTCACTTGTTCACGTTGGAAGAACCTTCGGGAAGATCTTGTTTTGGGGCTCCTGAAGCTTACAAGCCAACCTCACGGAACCCGAAAGGGCACTTGGCAGGCTA